GAGAGAAGGCAGATCGTCATTCCAAAGAAGAGGGTCCCAGAAGTCTTGGAGGAAGTTCACAATGGAACCAGCGGAGGACATCTTGGTGTTACCAAGACACTTGGCAAGCTGCGTGAACGGTTCTACTGGGTGAACTGCAAAGAAGATGTGAGGGCCTGGTGTAAGAAATGTGACATTTGCGCAGCCATTAATGGGCCACAAAAGCGTGGTAAAGCCCCTATGCGCCAGTACAATGTTGGTAGTCCCTTCGAACGAATAGCGATCGACGTGGCTGGTCCTTTCCCGGAGACGAACGATGGCAACAAATACATTGTGGTAGTAATGGATTACTTCAGCAAATGGGTCGAGGCCTACGCGTTGCCAAATCAAGAAGCGTCCACGATTGCTGATGCCCTTGTTAAAGAATGGATCTGCAGGTTTGGTGTTCCCATGGAGCTTCATTCAGATCAGGGAAGAAACTTTGAGTCCAATCTGTTCCAAGGCGTCTGTGAAGTCCTGAACATCCGCAAGACCAGGACGACTGCTCTACATCCACAATCCGATGGGATGGTTGAACGCATGAACAGAACTATCAACCGTTATCTGGCCAAAGTAGTCTCTGACCACCAAAGAGACTGGGACAAATTTCTTCACCTGTTCCTGTTGGCCTACCGTTCATCCGTCCAAGAATCTACAGGGCAAACTCCAGCCAGCATCGTTATGGGACGGGAAGTGCGCCTACCCTGTGATCTGAAATTTGGTTGCCGACCGGGAGAAGAAGTCGCCGGAGAAGATTATGTCCACACACTACGTCAAAGGATGGACGACATTCATCAGAGAGTCCGCCTAAATATTCAAAGTGCTAGTGACCGAATGAAGGAACACTACGACATTCAAGCTGAGCATGGAGGATACCAACCAGGGAAGTTGGTGTGGCTATATAACCCGCAGAGACGTCGTGGGTTATCTCCGAAGCTACAATCCTCGTGGGAAGGGCCATACGAAGTCATGGATAGAATTAATGACGTCGTATACCGTATCAGAAAATTGCCAAAAGGAAAACCGAGGGTAGTCCATTTCAACCGTTTGAGCCCCTACCAAGGCGAAATAGAAGATCGTGCTGGGACCGTGAGAACCTGCAGCTTTGATCCCCCTGATTCGGAGATGTCCTTTGACGATTTCATGGCCCGATACAACAGCAGTGAGAAGGCTCGCTATGGTGTAACCAAAGAAGATCAACGAGACCTCTTTTCCGTGCCTCCTGATTATTCGCTCGCTCATTGTGTGGCTCGAGATTTGCGGATGTCCAGAGGAATCGCTGCGACGTTCAATGAGAAGTTTGGGCGTGTCGGAGAACTACGCCGACAGGATCCAGAGGTTGGAAGCGTCTTGAGGCTAACCGACAATGCACATGGTCAAGCAAGGCACATCTTCTACCTGGTCACCAAGGAATGGTCCCCGAGTAAGCCGACTTATCTCAATCTATGGAAGACCCTGATTGAACTGAGAGAAGCCCTGCTAAACAACAACATTGCACGATTAGCCATTCCGAAGCTGGCGTGTGGACTCGATGGTTTGAGTTGGCGTACAATCCGGAACATGATTGAAGTCTTGTTTAGATTTACGGGAATCGAGATCCTCGTTTGCTGCTACAACCCAAAGCTGAGATCGGGAGAGAAAACTGTAGACTGCTATTTCTACCAGACTTCGCAATGGCCAGCTTTGCAAATACCTTCATTCACCGTATACATCTCGGGACGAGCGTGTGCCTAAGAAGGGGGCAGTGTTGCGAGCCGGTGTGGACTCGACCTAACCTCACAATATGGCCCGCCCTCGGATGACCTTAACATCGCATAGACACCGCAATGATTCATTCGTTCGAGAAGAATCGAGACCCACTAGAATGGACGCGTACATACGAGAACATTCGAAAACCTTCTCTATGCGCCTAACGATCTTTGGACTATTCTAGATTTCTTTTACCTGTCGGTATAAAAGCCGGCGGCAGTGGCCTAGAGAGGGCAGTTATAAATATAACAGTGCAGTTGACGCGCTAAAAATTCAAAATAAATTCTTAGTTATAAATCGTTTGTAAATAGTTCTATAAGTCTTTATCGTTATTGTTTTTGTTAATTAGTGTTAAATAAATAGTGTTTAAATAAATTGTGACTTTCTATCCACACGGAACCGACGAAAAACGTAACAATATGCATAGATAAATGAAACAAGTTTAGATTGGAAAGCCCGTCAAAATTTTAGGTCGGGAAATTATTTTGGGTCGCGACCGTTGTACGCGACCTGGCGCTGCTATAGCGGTTTGCGAAGAACAACTGCAAATAAAAACAGAAATAATTTTCTCTTATCCATATCTCTTGTCAAAGTCAGAATCTTCAAAAATTATAAAATCTTTCAAAATCTAAACCGCTCGCTCTAAAGTGTTTATAGCGTCTATTTTCAAAGTAATTATTGCTATATTGTGAGTTTAATTCAAGTTTTATTTATTCCAACCCGTGATAATTGTGAAAAAGTGGCATTAAAAACTTAAAAAGCTGTGCTGTGAACTGTGAACTGCAAAAGCCATAGTGGATCATGAATGACATAGTGGATGACATAACGTCGCGTCAGTTTCCAATGTTTCATAGGTATTTCATACATGTCCTTATATAAAATAAAGTTTCTTGTATGCAACACACTGTATTTTATTTATAAAATTAAAAGAAAATAATAATAAATTTGAATAAATATTTGGCGATATAATTCCTGAAAAAGCCGAACCGCTCCGATATTATCAAAAGCTTTGGGTCGCGACCGTTGCAAGAATAGCGCCAAATAGTGTTTAAATTGTCCTTATGGGCACTTTCCAATCCTGTGGTCAATATGCCCTTAAAAAAACTATTTAGGTAACAATAACGTCAATTTGACATTAAAAAATCGATTTTGAAGGTGGCATTTTAGTTATTCCAATCAGGACATTATTTTTAAATTAGTTTAGTATTTTTTATCTTTAACTACAAAAAATATTCGTAGAAGCTATTGAAAATAAACAATTGGCTTCATCTCAAGGAGTTCTTTAAAAAGTTTCAAATACATTTTTCTGTACAATAAAATGGCTAAAACTTACTCACAATTTTTAAAATTTACATGGGATTTCCTATGTTCAGGTTGGCGATACAACAGACTGTATAGTTTTACACTAATATATTTTTTTATATTTACACTAAGTATATTACTTTTGCCATAAAATTTTAATAACAAGTTTACTTAGTATACCTGGTGCGTCTCAAAAGTGGCTCACTCCTATAACTTTTTTATTTTTTCAGATAAAAAATCGAGATTTGGTATGTTAGTATACAGGGTGGGTCAATGGAAACTTTCCACCCCAATTTTTCTCGTTTAAAATTAAAATTTTGAAAAACCCTCGGACACGTCGATTTAGTTTTCGAGGGGGAAAAGAAAATATCATAAAATCACTTTCACACCTATAACCCCCAAGGCGGGGGCGGCGCCACCCCTAAATTCTTAAATGGAAAGGGGGGCCGAGTGATACCTCATGTGAAATGTCTTTCAATTTCCTTTTTAATGTTATAAGATATTATGTACTTTTGTTCAGTAGTTTTAAAGATTTATTGATTTAAAAAGTAGATTTTAATTTATCAGCTAAGTGGTGAAAAAATCGGTTTTTATTTTTTTTTCTCTCTGTATGTATTTTTTTGGCAAACTATGTATACTAAAAATTTTAACTAATCAATCTGCATCGATCCACGCCCAAAGATCTTTCAATTCGGAATAAGTGAAAAATGCTCGGGAAAATTTTTAGAAATTTAAAAAAAAAATAAGCTTTTTTATTTAAAAGCTTAATTTTTAGTATACATAGTTTGCCAAAAAAAATACATACAGAGAGAGGAAAAAATATAAACCGATTTTTTCGCCACTTAGCTGATAAATTAAAATCTATTTTAAATCAATAAATCTCTAAAACTATTGAACGAAAGTACATGATATCTTATATCATTAAAAAGGGAATTGAAAGACCTTTCAAATGAGGTATCACACGGCCCCCTTTTCCATTTAAGAATTTAGGGGTGGCGCCGCCTTGCCTTGGAGGTTAAAGGTGTGAAAGTGATTTTATGATATTTTCTTTTCCCCCACGAAAACTAAATTGACGTATCCGGGCGTTTTTCCAAATTTTAATTTTAAACGAGAAAAATTGGGGTGGAAAGTTTCCATTGGCCCACCCTGTATAACATAAATTAGGATTGATTGACATATTCAATTGTTTTCAGTCACTTCCTGTTCCACCGGAAATAACTACAACTTTTGATTTTTAAATGGCACCCTCGGTATTTTTTCATTTTATTCCATAGAAAATGACATTCTGAATAGAATGACATATAATATGTCAACTTTTGACATTCTCGCTTAATAAAAAATTGTATTTTAAATTTCAATCTAGAATGCCATGGCGATGTTAAAAACACTAATTCTTAATCAAGGAGCCTTGGAAAAATAGATTGGATCGTCTAATCTTATTAGTGTCTTATCCTGGCCAGTTAGAAAATGCTCAAATCTATTTTTAGTCATATCTCAATTTTTTCAAATGGGACGAAGGTGGTTCATTAGCATATTTGGAAGAAGCATTTTTTTACAAATAATTTGATACCATGCACTTAGTATTTCCAGTCAAATTTTCATTACAAACCGCAAGTTATAATTTCAAATAAATCGTATGCGAAAATGTCAAAAGTTGACATATGATATGTCATTCTATTCAGAGTGTTATTTTATATCGAATTAAGTAAAAAATACAGAGGGTGCCATTTAAAAATCAAAAGTTGTAGTCATTTCCGGTGAAACAGGAAGTGACTGAAAACAGTTGAATACGTCAATCAATCCTAATTTATGTCATATACTAACATACCAAATCTCGTTTTGTTAACTGAAAAAATAAAAAAGATATAGGGGTGAGCCACTTTTGAGACGTACCCGGTACAGTAATATAAAAATATCATTTTGTTATTTAGGTTACTATGCGAGTTGGTAAGAAAACGTGAAAAAATGAAGCTGGAATATACAAAAATTTCCGAAAAAGTTCTTCACGTTAAACTAAAACCTTTAGAAGCTAGTTTGGGAAAAGTTTTGGATTTGATTGAGGCCAAAGATACTAACGAAATTTTTACAGAACCTGTTGATTTAGAAGAGGTATGTTCTCTTTATTCTTTGTATAAAATTTATGAAAAAATATATTTATTTAAAATTATAAAATAGGTGCCTGATTATACAACAGTTGTGACCAGTCCAATGGATTTAAGTACCATGAGAGGAAAGTTGAAACAAGGCCTCTATCCTGATTTATCAGCGATGGAGAAAGATTTCGATCTTATGATAGCAAACTGTTTGGCATATAATGACAGGGATACAGTATTTTACAAAGCAGCCATTAGGGTAATGAAAGAGCAATAATAGTATATTACATACCGAGGAGGGAAGTGTTTCATTACTGTCGAGAGATTAACTAAATCTCGAGACAATAATGAAAACTTTCCTCCGAGATTTGTATACTATTTTATTTACAACCACATCATTAATTAAAAAATAGGGACAGTATTTTATTTTGAAAAAAAAAATAAATATGCGAAAATTTGTCGTTTTCTGTTTTGACATTTCCATATCTATAGTTACTGGTACCAGTGGTTGTTATGGCGCAAACCTTCAACAGCAAAACAAACAACTAAGTGACAGTTTTGAATTTCTCGTTCGCTTTTTCGAATTTATATAACATAGAAAGCCAGAATGTTGTCGGAAAGTTCTGATAATGAAGACTACTTTAATATTGGTACTCCACCAGAACTTACAGAAGCTGCAAAAAGAGCAGAAGCCAGTTTACTTCCAGAAAAAAGTAGGGGGCGATATGAAATAGCATTGAAAGTATACGAAAAATGGTGTGCCGAAAGAAATGCTAAGAATAATTGCTTCGGGGAAGGTCTTGTTGGCATATTTTAGCGACATGGCAAGGCAGAAAAAGCCATCTACTCTTTGGGCTACGTACAGCATGATACGGACAATGCTAGAATTAAGGGAAAAGACTGACATATGAAAATATCACAAACTCGTCGCTTTTTTAAAACGCCAGAATGTAGGTTTTAACCCAAAGAAGTCTAGCATTTTTACCTTCAACAAATATATGTATTAAAATCTTCAATTATTATTGTTAATCTTCTTGTTTATTTTTGTTGATGTTAGATATGTATTTAATAAAGATATTACAAGAATATTTTCCTTAATTAAATGAGGCGAGAAATAAGAAAAACCGAGTGAGGGAAATGGAAGAGGGAAGAAATTTAGATAATTTGACACTTTCAATTTTTAAAAGTCAGTAATGTCAGTATTACATAAATGGTTGTAAATAAAAAATATTTTTTTATGTTTAAAGCATAATTATTTTTAGATGAGGGATCAATGTGGAACTATTTTCCGTCAGGCTAAGAAAGAACTTGAATCGGCTGGTTTAATGCAAACAAATGCAGATTCTGTACAAACTAATTTAGGTAATAATGGTGGAGAGGAGGCTTTAGCTTCAGATATTGATAAAGAATTGGAGAATTTACAGGTACGCGGTTATAAAATATGGGTTACTAAGAGATTTTCAACAAAACACTTAATATTAATTTGAATAATAGCCTGTATTATTTAGACAGTATTCAACAGTAGTTATGTTTCTGAATTTACTTTTTGCCAATTTTGTGAGAAAATGCTATATCATTTTATCTAGGATCAATATCCAGTTCTACATACGAGATTCTTACTAAAAAATTATGGGCGCAGTGCTAGCAGTCCTTTTAAAAATATTTTTATAGATACACATTGGAAATGAAATGTATCTATAAGCTTGGGGCATTTTCCGCCGGTGCTGCCACAGCCGGAGAATATCGTAAATAACGAATACATACAAATACACGGGTTTAAATGGCGATTAAACGAAAAAATTGGTTTATAATTATTCTAAAAGTGTTAGAAAGTATAATTTGTGGAAATTCTGAACAAAATAATAAAAAGGTAAATATTTTGATATCTTAAGAAGATCTAACTTGCATTATAATTTATTATTCCAGTTAAAAAAAAATTAGATGAGTTCAACTACGGTAGCGAGCACAGTTTTATCACTGGCTTTGCTAGTGGGTCATAATTGGAGCTTTTTCGGCTATAACGAAATTTTTTAAAGGTACATAATTATAATTTTAGGAGATGATTTCAGTTGATTTCAACAAATTCCGACCGCAGCGCACTCTACGGCAGAAATCAGAAATTATCAACAAATTGTGTTCACGCCGCCGTCATGTCGATCGCGTTAAAATAATATTGAAATCGGGGTTTTGTCGTATTAAAGTATTTTAGTTTTTTGCTAGTGCAGTTATTGAGACTATAAAACATTCAGGTACGAGGTTTGTGTGATGTAAGGCTGTTTTGGGTAGTAAAAAATAAGTGAAAAAGAATTCGAACTAGGCGTCTTGTTGTGTTGTGACAATTTCAAATGTTAATAAAATTGCCCAAAAAAATGTTAACGCGTAAAGGAGAGATTTGTTCAATAGCAAAAATGGATTCAAGCAGTTCGACGATACAAGTGAGTAAACAAAGTGCTCGTTAGATAATCAAAAAATTAAATAGACATATACTATGAGAGGACGAAATATAATTTGTGTGTGTGCAATATTAATGGTATACTTTTTTAATCAACTAGTGATTAAATGTTTTATAAACATCTTCTAAAAATATAATTATGTACCTTTAAAAAATTTCGTCATAGCCGAAATAGCTCCAATTATGCCCCACTAGCAAAACCGGTGATAAAACTATGCTCGCTACCGTAGTTGAACTCATCTAAAAAAGTTTTAAATGGAATAATAAATTATAATGCAAGTTAGACTTTCGGAAGATATCAAAATATTTACTTTTTTATTTTTTTGTTCAGAATTTCCACAAATTACACTTTTGGAAAAATTATATACTAATTTTTTCTTTTACTCGCCATTTAAACCCGTGTATTTGTATGTGTTCGTTATTTACGATATTCCCCGGCGGTGGCAGCATCGGCGGAGAATGGACCAAGCCTATAATTGTATGAAGTTTGATTAGTTATACTAATAACACATTTTGCTAAAACACTGGTGTTTATGGAATTTTAATTTTACTGTTATTCTGCACAATTTTTAATTCGCAGAGTGATATTTTTAGGGTAAAATTGGTCTAGATATAATCACCAAACTAGAAGATCTCCTTGTTAAAAGCCAAACTTTGAAACATGGACTTGCTCGCGCCAAGCGAGTAAAACTTGTACGCAGTGAACTGAATAAGGTCAAGCGCAATATGGCGAACAATCCTCTATCTGAAACTAAGTCTGACGATAAGAAAGAAGCTGTTAAATTGAAGCTTGATCATCAGAGTGAAATGGAAACTGAACATACAACAGATCATACTGATCAAACTGACGTAGCTTCGCAGTCAGATGGGGAAACCGAAGAAGGAAGGAGTAGTGTCAATTCAGCAAGTAAGGGCTAGCATCCTAGATCATACTTAAGTAGATAAGTAAATCACTATGGAAACTGTCGCAAACATATCAACGACTTTTGATGACATTTATCTTCTTTTTTTGTTGCACACGCAGTGCTTCTATTCTGTCTATCCTTGTCGAGAACCTATCGTCCGCGCGCCAAATTTGAACATTAATTTTAAAAATTTAATTTGTAAAATGCTTATATTTGAACAATAAATTGAATGTTTACTTTCACAAAAATTAAATTATATAAAAATACATTTAGTCACTCTGTACGAATATCAATATTCTTAGAAAATCTAACGAAAGAAAAACTCTTAGAAAGTATGCATGTGGCTTAATATAGATAAAAAACAACTGAATACTTTACTTGCCTATGAAAAGATAATTCGGGGACCTTTATATTAGAACTTTCCCACACTAAACACTTTCTAGTCATTTTTACGAGTATTTAGAAAGTCCAACGAAAAAATAAAAATATAATTACACAAACTTAAAATTAACTTCTCACTGAACACACTTGTATCCTTGGCTATATAAAAGCGGTCGATAAAAGACTAATTAATACAATTTTTAAAATAAAAACGCAAACAACAAGCGTCGTTACACAATGGAAATAAGATTATGACCTTTGAATTAGAAGACTAAGGAAGGAGCATAATGCTATCCATGTATTCATGCATGGTGGGCGGAAAAGGCACCATAAAAGCTCTCTAGGGTGGGGATCCTTGACAGTTCTGTTTGACGATTCATTTGACACATTTGAATTTGATTTGAAATTTTGTGGATTTGTCAGTCTTTATGGAGCTTATTTTATGTTATTTATTATTTATTCTACTACTGATAGTTGTATAAAGGTAGTAATTCTAGATGGAAATTGTGGCAGAACTTAAATTAACAGTGACACTATCGCGATTTATCGAAAAAGACTCTAAAATAGTTGGTTGTGTAGCGTGCGGTAGATCTCGGCAAAAATTGAGTGAAATAATGGAACAACTTTTCGCTAGTAAGTGACTATATAATATACATACGTGTAGTAAACCGATCATTTATGAAATTCACTTAAATTAACTAAATTATATATTTTTCTTGCATTTTAGCTTTTATTTATTACTTGTCAAAGATTAGATGTCAAAGAATTTAGATACGTTAATTTGACTTACCTGCTTCAGTAGCGTATCGAATGTTTGTGTTAATAAATACTTATTATAACTTATCTATTTTTATTAGAATTATATATTTTTATAACAATTTTAATAACTACCAACATTTATTCACAACGTAAAATAAAACAACAAATTATTGAGTCTACCCCACGTCTACCCTACATCATAGTTTTGCATTTTTTAAATAAAATTAGAACGACACTGATAAACAGGAATTTAAGTCGGCCATATTTGAGGCCCATCGCGGTGTACCTAAGATTTTTGATATGCTCCTTCCTTAGTCTTCTTATTCAAAGATTATGACCATTGCCTGGAAACCAAAGAATATACCTAGCTAGAAAAAGAATGGACTCTGCCATACTGAAAAATGGTCCTACAGAAGTGGCGCCATCTATTGAGTAGGGCTTGTTTTAAATGGATCGAAGCGCGGGCTTTTTAAATGAGCGTATTTATTGAATTTTGCTCTAAAATAATTAAATTTGATTATTAAATCTTATTTTTACACAAATTCAACAATACTAATAACAAGTATCGTTGTGATGTGTAAAAAATAAGATTTAACAGTATAATTTATACAATTATTAAATAAAATTAAAGCCAAACATGTGTAAATATTATTTATTATTTAAAGTTTTATTTATATGTCAAATATTTAAACATCGTTTATTATAATAAAACAAGACCAACGTAATACGCCCAAAGTTTTGTAAATGGAGTAAATATAAATAGGTACTTAAATGATGGCAAAAATAAAAGACTTACATTATATTTTTAGGGCCACAAACAAAAGGAATTGTCTAATAAAAACACATATAACAAATCATCAAAATAAAAAACTAAATCACCACAATACACCAAAACACTTTTACTTTTACACTGGACGTGCGTTTCGCTAACCATGTTAGCATCATCAGCAGATGATTATAAACTGATCAGTTTATAATCATCTGCTGTAAAAGTAAAAGTGTTTTGGTGTATTGTGGTGATTTAGTTTTTTATTTTGCTGTGTAACACCAAAGGTTCCAACCCTCAACTGTAATAACAAATCATAGTTTGAAAAACGTTTTGCTAATCATTTTTGATAATATTATGACTATGGCGCTATGACAACGACAATATTTTTTGAGAATTTGACAATAGTATAACAATGGCCGTTGGAAACTATGGAAACTACAAAAAAAATCTGATTGAACGCCATCTGGCAATAACTAGTAGCAACTTCTTAACCTAAAAATTAATTGCACTACCACCTAGCGCCCGAGGCTGGAACTATTTTATTTGAAATTTCCGTGGAAACGGTGGAACCGCTTTTGCTATTTCACTTTCCGGCCCCTGCTGGAAACTTATATGGTGAAATTTTGATAAAATAATTTAGTACACACTAAAAACACGGTATGTCGCTAGTGGTAGGAAAAATAATTTTTAGAGGTTACTAGTTTATTTGGTTGCCTGTGATATGCATATACAGGGTGTTTCCTAATTAATCTAAAAAATAAAAAATCGTTAGAAAACGGATTAAGGCGGGCTCTTAATAAGTATATTTATTTTTTTCTCGACAACTGTTTGATGAACAAGAAAAACTCAAAAGATCAATCTTGTTGAAAAAGGATGGCCAGCCAAGAAAAAATATATTTTCTTTAAAAAAGCAGTGGTGTACCATTTATGTTAAGCAAAATATCGATTTTTTCAAATTTTTAACACCCTGTATCAGAAAGGAAGTACTGGTAGACCCAATAGTTATATATAAATTGTTTAAAGAACATATGAGGAATCACACCACAATTTTTTTAGACTAATTAGAAAATACCCTGTATATTGTCGACTTGACAATGATTGCTGATAAATCAAAAAATACCTTTTCAGTGAAATAAGCCCGATTTTCGCAGGAAAAATTTTGATTTTTATTGAATTTGGTCCTGATGCGTCTGCAAATACCGGTTTGATATTTAATTTTCTATCTATCTAAATTTTAAATATCATAGTCAGAAATAGTTTTATTATTTATTAACTGTAAAAATGGTGTTTTCTTGTTGTGTTGCATCTTGCAAAGAAACTAACGAAACTGCAAAAATGCACGTGTTTCCAAAAGACGATAAGGTATGTATCTTAGATAAAAGAAAAATATATGGTATGTATTCGTTGTTTGATTTTTTTTTCGTTCGCTTTAAAATCTATAAATCTCGGTCTATTCCTTAGACAGCCCGTCGACTTACGATCATTTACATGAAACTCTGTAAAATAAATAAAAAAATAAACTGTAAAATATATATATTCTTATGTTTTATTAAAGTTACCCTGAGATACTAATATATCAGTGTAACTTTAAAAATAATTCCTTTGAATTCAAATATAAATATAAAAAACATTTACAGCAGAAAAGGCGAAGGCGCTGGGTAAAACGTAGTCTCTACTAAAAACACGGAGGGGCGCTTTGACCCAAAATTTTACTATTAAGTTTCATATCTATCTTAATAGTAGATTATTTTCTTTTATCTATGATTATGACAATATGATGACAATGAAAAGTTGGTTTCCATAACAATGTATAATTTGTACTTTCTAAACCGTATATAAAATTGTGATTATTTTGGAAATACGTGCAACTTTTAATGCGCATGCGCAAAGTAAGGTCCTCGAGAAAGACAAACCTATTGAACGTTTCATAAGAGCAATAAAGAAGGTTTGAAAATGGCATGTTATGATGCTGGAGACATATTTTTTAATGCTAAATTTATGGCGTTGATTTATCGAATGTAATACCTCTTTCATTCTGAAAACGTGTCTATTCGACGAGCAAGTGTTATCTTATGGTGCGTTTAGACTTGAGCACGCACGCACTGATCCTCCGCGAATGCTCAAGTGTAAACGGCTGTGCGCGCACGCTCACTCTGAATCTGTCTGTGCGCGAGCAGCCGCGAACGTGAGCCGTCTGGTGTCGGTTTTTGGTCCGCGCTCAAAGGGATTTTATGTGTGCGCGAACGCTCAATTTGGACCGGCAATTTGTTTTGTCTGCGGTTCGTGCGTGCGTGTGTGATTTTTTTTTGTTTTCTTTATTAAAATTATGGAGTGGATCAATGAATCTTCGTTATTATTAATTGAAAAATATGAAAAGTTGCCTATATTATGGGATGTTAAACATTCTTTGTATTATTAAAAAATCAAAAAAAAATATAAAGCATGGCAAAACCTTGTAGATAAAATTAATATTGAATATGTCGATATTAATGAAATTGCTATTCTAAAATTTGTATCTTGTGTTCGTAATTTTTGGTGTTATTAAATTTTGTAAATATTTAAAGTCGGGCCTGGTCATTCTTGTAAAGTTTTTGAACTGATCATAGCCCTCCTCAGACACTAAGTTGTTGCAGTAAATTATATCGATTTCTAAAAATTTGGGTTTGCCACCAGCGACGATGTTTTCGATTTTTCTTCTTTTTAATAATTAAGCTGTGCATAACAATGACTTCAGCCTCGACTATTTCTTGGTCGTCCATTATTTTCGCCAACACAACACTGCTGTGCGCGCACAAATGGATCACTTCATTCGTCGAAAAATAAGTTTTTAATTTGAACGGAGCCGAGAGCGCGAACGAATGCCGTCCGTGCGCGCACGCTCAGCTCGTGCTTGCTCAAGTCTAAACGCACCATTACATATTATGGCATAGATCTGTCTGACGCACGAACATCTTAGTGGGCGTTGCCAGACCTATGAGCGTTGCCGGACATATGCCGATTTTTTGAGAGCGTTGCCTTACTTATACCGATCCCGGTACTATTTTTTGAATGAACTTATATAGGTTTATTCTTTAGGTGGTTCCCCAGGTGGAGTTAATAGAAGAACTGCCGTTCTTTTCACGAAAAAAGCTCAAGCGGCGTTAAAAAAGGAGGATGCCAAGGACAAAACGGAAACGGATACTCCGCCTTTGACTCCAACAAAGTAAGGTTTTTCTATTTATATTAACTTTTTAAAGTTACATAATAAATTTAACATAGAAGTTTCTATTATTTCTCCAATAAAATACAAGAATAAAAACTTCTATAAACTTGAGTCAATTTTTTTTTCATAGATGTTTAATTCACCTTGTTCATAAACAATGCTAATTTATGAGTTTATGTTATTTACAGAAAGAAGAAAGGCCAAAAAAGTACTAGCGATACGAAGAACGCAACTTCGATTGGTGTAAATAAAAGTAGTTCAAACGTCCCGGACAGTTTTAAGGTACACTGTTAAAGCAATATGTTTGTGTTATTGAAAAAAATACTAAGGAAGCATATTAATTTATTAAGGAGCATATTAACACAAGTAGAGCGACCGCGAAGCTACTTTAATATAGTCGACTTAAATTCCGGTTTGTCAGTGGAGTTCTAATGTGTTCAGTGTAATAGTTATTTTTATGAGTCGACCGAAAAGATTAATGTGAATTAATTTCGGGAGACGATAATGCAATTTTATCGTCGTGTATAAAACAATATTTTTTTCCATAGCGAGTTACGTTTTAAAAAATATTCAGAAATGATTATTTCAAGGAATTTATTACGAGTAGAAAAAATGTTGTGCTGGGTTGGCGTTGGTTTCTATGTAATTTGACAAATAAATAAAGCTGTCTTTTTAGTTGTCAGTTTTGAGTCAATATTTTTTAATTCTCTTTCGTGTCGATTGCTGATTGAATTGGAGTCAGAAATGGCTCAAAACGAAATAAGTAAATTACTAACAGATATTCAGGCTGAGGCGACAAACGCCATATCCAAACTACTTCCATTTAAATCCCGAATAACTTACGAAATACAAAAATTTTCAAAAATGGAAGCAATTAAAAAACGTGCGAGAAGAATTAAATAGACATTTACTGTGAGAGGATAAAATATAATTTGCAATATTAATGGTATACTTTTTTTAATCAACTAGTGATTAAATGTTTTATGAACATCTTCTAAAGTTATAATTATGTACCTTTAAAAAATTTCGTTATAGCTAAAATAGCCCCAATTATGCCCCACTAGCAAAACCGGTAATTAAAACTATGCTCGCTCCCGTAGTTGAACTCATCTAAAAAGTGTTTTTAACTGGTTTAATAAATTATAATACAAGTTAGACCTTCTGCAGATATCAAAACATTTACTTTTTTATTTTCAGATTTTTACAAATTATACTTCCTAACACTTTTAGTATAAGTAAATAATACATTTTTCGTATACTCGCTATTTAAACCTGTGTATTTGTATATGTCGATTGTTTACGATATTCTCCGATGGTGGCAGCACCGGCGGAGAATGCACCAAGCCTCTTCTGTGCATCTCTATAAAATACATACAAATGTGTCAAATAACACGTTAAACAAAACTGCCAAGACAAGATTTTTCATGACATTGGTTGCATAATATCTAACGCATGAATATGAAAATGGTACTGGGACTGCTTCGTTAGTCTTTTTATTCAAGTTTCATATATTTCTTTAGGTATATCGTGGTGGTAAACAAACTACCGACGAGGAAAAAAGCGACAGCGACAATTCTCTGTCAACGTGCTATTCTCACGAACCGAGTGAAATAGAGAGTGACGAAGAAGAGGAAAGCGACTCGATGGCTTCTTCGCTCATCGATAAAATTCTGCAGCCTCTTCAACTTGTTTGGGCCAAATGCAGAGGTTATCCTTGGTATCCTGCTCTCATTATCGATCCTACAATGCCCAAAGGTCAGTTAGAATTTATGATTTCGTTTACTGTCAATGATGAGCAACCCGGTATATTGAAATTTGGGTAAATACCACAGGTTTTGTATCCGATATACGGAGTGTCCCAGGCTGAGCGTGCATTAGAAATTTCTAGTATCTAGATCGGAGATTTTTTGCACATTATTGTTTCACAATGAGATCTGTCGATTAAAAATATTTTCAATATAGCGGCACTCCGGAAATACCGGAAGTGGACAACTTTCCTATTTCCTATTTTAAACAACTTTCCTATTTTAAATGTGTACCCCATTTTTTATTACACATTCGAATTCTCTATAAATTTTCATAAATTTTTATATGAAATACACTATACCTAACATTAACCGTTTTTGAGAAATATTTCAAATTTAAAAAAAAACTGCCTGTCAAAAAAAATTGTATAGTCTAAACGTCAAATTTAGTGATTATCACAGCCACTGTGACATATAGAGAAAACATGTAGCTATCTATTTCAAAAATTAAATTGTTTGAATGTCATATAATATTGGCAGTAGCTGTCATAGAATTCAGAGATTAAAAAAATATCGCAAATCTTTTTTTTTTTCAAATGGAAACCCACTTTTATTTCACTATTGAAAAACGTTTTTTAATTCGTTATTTTTTTATTATATATGAATCTGACCGTGCCATATTGCGACACTGTTAAAATATCAGTATGTCATCGATCGTCATTTCCAAGCCAACTTAGTGCCGTTTTTTTTTCGATCATATATTATATTATTAATATCAACTATTAGATATCACTAAAATACGAGAATATTTTTTATAAATATACTTTATAAAGTTATAGCAACAGTATTTATAATATACGATATTCTAATAATTAGTTTTTGGACAGAAGAAAATAAATTGTCTGACTAAAACTTAATAGTACGAGAACTACAAATACCGCGTAGAAGAAATGTATCAACCCAACTTTATCTCTCTTTAATACATTTGATTTATTATTAAGCTGCCTACACACTGTCTTACACGTTAAAATCCAGACCACACTTCTAAAATGACAGTTGCATTTTTAGACCCCCTTCATATCTCAGTTATGTTAAAAGATTATCGAAAAGATGAAAATTGAGTTCCAAAGAGTTTTTCCCGTAGAATCCAGTGGCTTAACTAGTTTGTTTCCTGGGAGGTGTCAAACTTATGTTTTTTTTTAAATGTATACGATACCCTGTATATGTTGGAGGCAGATGCCGAATTCGGCCTATGTCCCAAATAATTAGACATTTGGCGATTTGTCCATACTAAACTTGCAAGATGCGTGCAACTTCGTGGTTATAAATACTATTTATATAACTTCTTTGCGGAGGGGGTTAATCTTTTTTTGGTATAATATAACAACAAAAGATTAACACCCTCCGCATAGAAGTTGAAACCAATGCAATCAAAACTCTTCCGCGTAACTTTGTGGATATAGGTAGGTATATTTAATTATAATCGCCATATGTCTAATTATTTCGGACATAGGCCGAATTCGGCATCTACCTCCAACATATATATTTTTTTTATTATACATATATATATATATATATATATATATATATATATATATATATATATATATATATATATATATATAAAATGACAGCTATCTTCATTTCATAGCCATCGCCGACGCCTTTTTTCGATCTTATTGTATATATCTTACGAAATATGAAAACACGATTTTCTTACTCTTTTTAATGTCAATAAAAATAAATACAGCTCAATTCATTTTTAGCGACTATAATATTTATTTAGATTACGTGTTTTAAAATAGTGCATAATTTTTTGTATTAGTCAGGCAGCGTATATATTACTTTCTAGAGAAACAACAAACAGCTATTAAAAAATGTGGTTTGCACCCATTTACCCATTTGCATAAAATTATTTACTATGTATAATTAAAATTGATGTATGCAGTTAAGGTGTATTTTCTACTTTATTATTAACTTGTTGCATTAAAAAAATCTTGCAAAAATTTAGAAATAAAACAAACAGATTATTTTTATTTGTTTATTATTTATATATTTCAAAAAGATGAATATTTACATTTCCATTAAAATTGTAAATACAACAATATTGAAGCTATTTTATTTTATTGTATGTGGCGGAATATTTTATTGTTATTTACAAAGAATCTGCCGTTAAACGGTTTCTAGAATGCTATTAAGATAAATTATTTATAACTTCTGGTTACCTGCATTGTCTTTGTTTTATTGAGAGTCTATAGTTTATATGACTCGAAGTATTGTTTATTTAAATGCGTTAAAGTTAAAACATGATTGAATTAAGAAATATAACTAATACCCGCGAAGAACAAACGTTACTAAGTAATGCTAGCAACGGACTACCTTTGCATACCAGTGTAATGCCAGCAGACGACCAGGAAAAACTCACTTGGAATTTGTTTTTGTGGTACATAATTTATCTGATTGTTATAACGGTGTTGATCGTGTCATGTGCTGTTATATTGAAGGAGGCCTATAACTGGACTTTCGGAAATAAACATTTCGATCCTGTCGATGTATAATACCGAGAAACATTTATTTGATTTGTATTTTGGCTGCGTAATGAGCATTGTATTCTTATTCTAAGACTGATTTAATAAATACACGTTAAACTTTTTAAATTATTTCATTTAATCATTTTGTAGGTTACGTCCATAAAGGCGTGCCGCTTCCGACTCCTCCACAAGAAGTTCTAGATTTATCTTCGAAATTTACAGAACACGTGTACTTAGTGCTTTTCTTCGATGCCAAAAGGACCTGGCAATGGTTGCCGGCCGAGAAATTGGAGATTATGGGTATAGACATTGAGAAAGATGAGAGTAAGGTAAGCGAGATGGTATTAAAAATTATACGATAATAAATTTCCTTTCAATAAAAAAACTTAATGAAGGAGCATATCGGCAAAGTTAGCGTGACCGCGAAATGCTTTAAAATGGCCGTTTTTACTCCAGTTTATCAGTGGTCAAATCACGAAACTAGATAATAAATAAAATAAACTGAGAAAAATTCTTTGAATAAAAAGACTAATGAAGGAGCATAATGCTATCCTTGTATTTATGCATGGTGGGCGGAAAAAGGACTCTAGGGTGGGGATCCTTGACAGTTTTGTTTGACGATTCATTTGACACATTTGAATTTGATTTGAAATTTTGCGGATTTGTCAGTCTTTACGGAGCTTATTTTATGTTATTTATTATTTATTCTACTACTGATAGTTGTATAAAGGTAGTAAATCTAGATGGAAATTGTGGCAGAACTTAAATTAACAGTGACACTATTGCGATTTATCGAAAAAGACTGAGAAATAGTTGGTTGTGTAGTGCGCGGTAGGTCTCGGTCAAACATCGAGTGAAATAAGGGAACAACTTTTCGTTAGTAAGTGACTATATAATATACATACGTGTAGTAAACCGATCATTTATGAAATTCACTTAAATTAACTAATTATATATTTTTTCTTGCATTTTTGCTTTTATTTACTACTTGTCAAAGATTAGATCTCAAAGAATTTAGATACGTCAATTTGACTTACCTGGTTCAGTAGCGTATCGGATGTTTGTGTTAATAAATAATTATTATAACTTATCTATTTTTATTAGAATTATATATTTTTATAACAATTTTAATAACTACCAACATTTATTCACAACTTTGTTGTTTTACAAAGTATTGAGTCTAACCCACGTCGACCCACGTCTACCCTATATCATAGTTTTACACTTTTTAAATAAAATTAGAACGACACTGATAAACCGGAATTTAAGTCGGCCATATTTGAGTCCCTTCGCGGTGGTTCTAAGATTTTTTATATGCTCCTTCCTTAATCTTTTTATTCAAAGGAAAAATCTAACAAAGCCGCAAGAATCAAATCACACTTTGTGTCAAGTGAAACGTCAAACAAAACTGAAAATATACAGAGTGGCCCATTAGTGCGAGGAAGTCCAGTATACAGGGTGGTCCGAACTGTATTCCGGAAACTTCCGGGACAGCATATTCTGCAGATGAAAATAAGTAAAAAAGTTTGTATAAATGTATGTCCTAAAATATTTAGTTTCGGAGATACAGGGTGTAGAAGTTTCATTTTTATTTCGATTTTTTCCAAATAATTTCTGAAGTAACGTCAATATTTGGATGAAAATTGTTGTCTGGGTGTTTTTTGACATGAGAAATTTGATTTTGATGTCAATATGACTCCTATTTGTAGGAAGCGCCACCTACATGCGTTTAAACTGGTTTGAAGAGTTATCACTTTTTATCCGTACCTGTATAAAACTACTGAGTGAAAAAATGTACATTTCGGTGATTTTCTACGTAAAAAATGTCTCTTGGTAAAAATCGCTACGAGCAACGTTCTCAAGATATTCAGAATGGAAATAGTCAATACATGTCATTATTGACAAAAAATAAATACGTTCAGTAGACAATTATTTGACTGAAATAATAAATTTGGGAAATTTTTATTTTTTTAAATTAATCATAAATTTTTCTGTGAAAAAATGATGATAAAACAGTGTCTGTTGAACTTTTGACACAAAAACATTTCAAATTTATGATTTCAGTGTGATAACTATTTAGTGTCCACATGTTTAATTTATGTCAATGGTGACAGGTATTGATAATTTTGATTCCAAATATCTCGAGAACCATTTTTCGTAGCAATTTTGACAAAGAGACCTCTTTTACGTAAAAAAACGCCGTAAATGTATATTTTTCACTCCATAGTTTTATACAGGTACGGACAAAAAGTTATTACTCTTCTAAACAGTTAAAACACATGTAGGTGGCGCCCTCTACAAGTAGGAGTCATATTGACATCAAAATCAAATTTATCATGTCAAAAAACTCCCAGACACCAATTTTCAACCAAATATTGACGTTACTTTAGAAATTATTTGGAAACAAATCGAAATAAAAATGAAACTTCTACACCCTGTATCTCCGAAACAAAGCATTTTAAGACATACATTTATACGAACTTTTTTACTTATTCTTATCTGCAGAATATGCCGCCGAAGTTTCCGGAATACAGTTCGGACCACCCTGTATAATAAATTTCCTTTCAATAAAAAGACTTAATGAAGGAGCATATCAGCAAAATATGACCGCGAAATGCTTTAAAATGGCCTTCTTAAATTCCAGTTTATCAGTGAATCAATCCTGACATTGTATAAATTGATTGTGATTTTACTTTACTTGATAGGGAAAGGCGTATCGGCAACAACGCAACAGCACATCGTCGCATTTCTCTCACTCCGACTTAATAAGATCCCTATGCGATTTACTTCCACACATGTAAATACCCACCCAAAAGTAACAGTTGCCAGCACGGTATAGCGTGGTCTAACAATTATTGCACTTACTTAACACAATACTTAAACCACTTGCACTACTACAACACAATGCAATAAAATAAATTTGAGCTTATGACGTTCTATTTAGAAACTCTTTTGTCTCAACACATTTTTTTCTACATAAAGCAGTTACCAAAAAACAGTTTGGCAGCATATTCTGCAGATAAAAATAAGTAAAAAAGTTCGTGTAAATTTATGTCCTAAAATGTTTCGTTTCGGTAATACAGTGTACACTGTATCATGCACTGTGTATTAAATTTTTTTCTTATTATTTAGGCAAACGAGCCGCGGAAGCAGTCTGACCGGAAGGCGGTAAGAAAAGCTTACGAAAATGCTCTGAGCTACATTCAACAAATCAGCGAAGCTGCTGAAGTGAATCAGACTGAAATGAAAACCTGACAGGTGCGTCGAACTCGAAAGTTTTCGTTTTTTACTTGATAATACAGTTAAATCTCCTAATTAACTACCGTATGATCGAAAAAAAAAACAACATCAAGTTGGCTTGGAGATGCAATCGCTGACATTTACCATATAATTTAGCATTTAAATGGACAGTGATTTTTATTTTCAACCAACTCCGACATCGTTTTATATCAACTTCAATGATTGAGTTCATATGGGGAAGAAGTAGGTTAGTGAGACATAACTGTATCAAAACGTTTTACTATTTAATTTTAACAATTTTTTAACTAATCGACGTTCCACATATTTTTTCTGTAATTTTTTTATCTATTTAGTTTTTTTTTTATTATCTCTTAAGCTTCATTTATAACCTCGTAATTATTGGTTCCAGTTAGCGTAGAAATTTGTTCCTTTAATTTCAATGTAAGCATTCAGAACGTTAAAATTAGTGGTAGACATTTTCTATTAGTAGAAAAAGTTATCAACCTTTTAACTTTTCCACTAATTATACTTCAAAATTTGCGAGAAATGTTATTTTGGCCTTTGATTATCTTCCGTCAAATTGTGGTTAGAAATCAAAAGTTGATTGTTTTATAAGCTAAATATTAGGCTTTCTCTATGGATACAGCTGACTAATGCAAGCTGTTGCTGGGATGTTCTATTAATTTTAATTGTGTTTTTTAAATATTGTAAATGATCGTAAACTAAAATGTATATAAAAAGTGTAACTGAAACCACTAATTGTGAGGTTCCGAATGAAGCTTTAAACTATAATAAATTATTGAATTTAATCTTTAAAAATGTAAATAGCTTCAAAATATCTGTGTATTTTACGGTATATGTTTATAAAACGTCCTTAAGACTACTGTAATGATGAATATTAACATAAGTATACAATAAATAAATTGAACGTGATACTAGTATTTCTAACCTTAATTTTTGCTATAGTTTGTCTGGCGATAGATTATAAGTCAGAAATTCTTTTGCTATACACACTATGCAAACCTATTACTATCTATGCAATTATATGTTTTTCTTTTCTTCATGTTTTTTGTCACCATGTTTTTTTCGTTTCATTTTCTTTTTTTTATCTACAACAAGTATAATCTTTAACCTAATTTTAATGAAATTTAAAGAGATAATAAGTTACAAACCCTCCAGAAATACAGGATCGGAACCATAGGGAATTGCAAGTGGGGGTTCCCACATTTCATTGACGTAATTATTAGTTTGATAGATATCCACTGGTCTGATGTTATTTTCTTTTCTTTGAGGTACGTAGATGATTTCAATCGGCGTATCTTCGCCTTGAACATAATTCTCGTCATCGGAATCTTCTTCAGAGTCGGGTTCTGTAAATACAAATGAAAAAAAAACGTCACGGTATGCGTTGAAATAACACTTCTATTGGATATTTTTATTTACTATGGCTTAATTTCTTCACGGTGACCACTGGTAGTGAGTTATTTTGCTGAGAGTTAAAGTTAAAATATAACAAGACAATAACTTGTTTAATTTAAATGGAACACCCTGTATATTTTACGAGACCACCCTGACCAAAGAAAGATGCACAATTTAATAATAATAATAATAATAATAATAATAAATGCCTTTATTGTCAAAAAATTTTCAATTTGTAGACAAATGTAAACTAATAAACAAAGTAAAAAAACAAGGTACACAAACAAACAAACAAAAGATAATACAAAACATTATACAAATAATATTGTCAGTCTTATTGTTAAAATAAACATTTATAAATGTTTATAATGTCAAAGAACAAAAAATAAAAATAATATTCAAAAATATTTAGCTAGTTTATAGTAAAATATCAATGACCGTTAAATAAATTCATTTCGATGTCATTAGTAAATATAGCAATAGCAAACATTAGACCAGTGTGTACAAGATCAAATTTGATTTTCAAAATATAATTCATTTACGGCGTAGAAAGCCTTGTCTAGTAAATAAGAGTTCAATGCTTTGCGAAATGAAAAAAATGATGTTATGGATTTGATTTCAAATGGCAGGTGATTGTGCATTTTTTTCGAGTTGTATAATATTGAACTTTTAACTAACTCTGAGCGTGGGGTAGGTAGATAAAGATCTTGCTCCGCGTTCCTGAGTGGATAAGTGTGAGATGGCCTTTCTTGAGAAGCTGATACATGTTTACGTATTAGGCAAACGGATTCAAATATAAATAAGGAAGGAAGAGTCAATATTTTTAATTCTCTAAAAAAGCCCCGGCAATGAGTTCTGCTGTTTAGTCCCAGTGAATATCGAACAGCTCTCTTCTGGAGCTTGAAAATGCGGTCAAATTGAGCCGCACAACACGTACCCCAGAATGGAAGGGCATACCTGAGGTGCGACTCAAAAAGTGCATAATAAACAGTTCTAGCCACTGACAAGTTAAGCTCCTTAGAAACAGACCTTAATGCAAAACAGGCAGAGCTCAATTTTTTCGACAAAGCTTCGATATGTATGTCCCATTTCAGAGAATTGTCCACAACAAGCCCTAAGAATTTTACGGATTTTACGACGTCAATGGTGGTGTTGTCAAGTACAAAAGGCTGCAACGAGTTTTTATACGACAAAGCCTTAGTTTTAGAAATGTTGAGACTCAGGAGGTTCGAATCGCACCAAGATTTAATGGTGATTAAGTCATTTGATATAATCCTATGAAGTGCCGCGATGTCCTTGTTGCTCCAAGTGAAGCTAGTGTCGTCCGCAAAAAGACATATTTTGCCACTGATGTTTATGTTAGCAATGTCGTTAATAAAAAGAAGAAACAAAATAGGGCCTAGTACTGAGCCTTGTGGTACTCCACATTCTATTGGTTTGCTAGAAGACAACGTGGTATCCACCCTCACAAGTTGACTTCTGTTGCTCAGATACGACTTAAACCATTCGAGAGGTGATCCCCTGAACCCGTAGTGCTGCAGTTTATTAATTAATATCTTATGATTTACACAATCGAACGCCTTAGAAAAATCACAGAAAATTGTTGCTGTAGAATGATGGTTGTTTAGGCTGGAGTAAACTTGTTGCTTAGAAATCCAAATTGATATTCAGTAAGTATTTTGTACTTAAACAGAAAAGATACCAGCCTACTTTTAACCAACCTTTCTATGATCTTAGATAGCGTTGGAAGGAGTGCAATTGGGCGATAGTTAGAAGCTTCATCTTTGTCTCCTCCTTTATGCAGAGGAATGATTATTGCCGTCTTAAGACATTTTGGAAAAATACCATTTTGGAACGACATGTTTATTAAAGTTGTTAGGTAATTCAGAGTGCTTTCTGGCAGATTCGAAAACATTTTTAAAGTTAGTCCGTCGGTCCCAGAAGAGGATTTATTTTTGATGGTATTAATTGTACTGCGAAGCTCTTCTAAAACTACGGGCGAAAAAAAGAAACTGTGTGAGTTTACAATATCATTAGAGAGATAAGAAAGTGGATCATGAGGAGGACATATGGTATTAGTTAAGTTTTTCGCTACATTTACAAAGTAATCGTTAAGGTTCTCAGGTGAGGTAGAGATATTGCTAGACGAAGAAAAGCTTTGTTTCTCAACTCATTCATAATAGACCATGTTTCTTTAGCAACACATTACCAGAATTGACTATTCTCCTATTAAAATAAAGGTCCTTAGCGCTTCTTATAGTCTTATGATAAATTTTTCTGTAAAGTTTTACGTAATTGTGGAAGAAGAGACTGTCTGAGAATTTTTTTAAGTGAGATAATGAACGCATGTTTTTAGAAGATATTTAACTGTCTATCAAATTGTATTATACCATCTTTTACCTATCTCTTCAAGTTTTCGTAGAAAATGCATTTTCTTATAATTTAGACACCTCATTTATCACTATACCAATGGAATATTGACATTTTAGATTATTTTTAAAGATGTAACAAATTTTCAAAAGGTACCAGATACTAATATTGTCGAAATTAAAAAAAAACTTTAAATATTTTTTGTTATAGAGGACCAATTAATCCGGATCCCCGTATTCAAACTACATTAATTGACTGTTTACGTTGATTAATAATTATTGTTCCAAATACTAAAAAACTGAATTTTGTATATGTATTAGACAGTGTGGTAAAAAGTAACACCTTATAAATTTTATAGCATTTTTTGACGAATGCTTATTTATAACAACAGACGTTCATTTTCATAAAAAATAAAAAATTATGATATTGATTTCCGAGTCAAATCTACATTTATTTAGAATAATTTATTAATTAAAACAATTCAGTAATGCAAATAACTAATTTTTGGGCGGAAAAAATGGTGGTACATTTAATTATTGGTATACTCTTTTACAAAAATTTAAATCGTTTTCTTTTTGTAAAAAAATAGGTTTGCAATATTATTATTTTTACCACCTGTACATTTTGTACATAATATGTTGCTTTAAAAAATCTAAAATGTCAATATTCCATGGGTATAGTGATAAATGAGGTCTAAATTATAAGAAAATGCATTTTCTACGAAAACTTGAAGAGATATATAAAAAATGGCATAATACAATTTGATAGACAATTAAATTGTGCATCTGATTCACGTAAAATATACAGGGTGTTCCATTTAAATTAGACAAGTTATTGTCGTTGAAAGCTAGTAATTATTTAATATAAATTTTTGGACACTCTTTATAAGGTGGTATAATTTTTATTATTGCAACACAATATCTGATCAATAAATAATCTTCAGTAAATATTTAGTATTAAAAATTTTGATACCCTTGGAGAAATAATGAAGCCTTAAATTTTTTACTGCAATTTCACAAAATTGAAACTATTTCAAAAATAGTAAGCTTTAAGTGTGATAAACCTTAATTACCTTTATTTCAATCGTAGAATCTAAAAGTAAAAGAATATACAGGGTGTTCCATTTAAAAAAATACAACTATAACATTTTTTATTTATTTGGGAGACTGTATGTTGAAAAATTATTTTTAAATTGTAGCTCTAATAGTCCTTCAACGAACCGAAAAATTACAATTTGTAAAAATCTAATCGTTTAGCTACAATACTCCGTGTCGTATGTGGTGAACAACTTTGTATAAATATATCGACTTTAATTCGTAAACTCAGTTTACTATAAACTTTAGTATTTGACTTATTGGGCAAAATGAACTTTCCACAATAATTTTGCAACTTTTTCAATTATCGTTACTTTTTGATGTTATTCTTCATAATGACGAGGTGGTTTTGGTGAATATTGTTGTGTTGACATTGTTCTTAGTGTAGAAGATTGTGCAAAAGTCATTGATTTTGTTGAAGATGGCCGCAATTAGAGTTTTAATCAGTATCGATATGACATTATGACAATAGCCACTGAAGCCATCTCGTGATATTAAAAAATAATAACAGAAAGTATTGATAGTTGAAAAAATTGCAAATCTTTAGTGGCAAGTTCATTTCGCTCATAAAAAGTAACCAAAGCATTTGTTGACAGGAGTCAAAAAACAAAATGCTCAGTAGACATGGTTCTGATCAAAAAATAATGGGCGCGTTCAGGGACGGTCAGCGGCTGAGTAAGCGGTTTCCCTAAACGGTCTCTTTTTACACGCAAAAACAGTCAGCCGCTGAGTAAAATACTCAGCGGTCGGTCAGCCGCTGTGTTCCCTGAACGCGCACAATATTTTAGGAAAAGTTACACACGAAATTATTGCACAAGGTGTTTTAAAATTATAGTAAAAAACAACCCTTCAATTAAGGAAATATATATTATATTTCAGAAATCTGCCTCAGGCTTAGCCCGATCCTGTCGTGCTACACCCTGTCACACCCTAAATTCCAAACACACGTGCTTTGGTTAAGGCTTGATTAAGCTTTGGAGAGCTTCAGCATTTGCCATAAAATAGCGAGTAATTTGTTACAAAACCATATCAGTTATATATCACTATAATCACAAAACTTCAATCTATTCGTATTGCAACGGAATTTTAAATTATGTCTTTATTTTCGAGAATATTTAGTTCAAACATAAGGTATATTTTGTTTATGTTCGACCACCAAAAATCTTAAAAATAAAGAAGTTACCTAAAGATGTGCTATAATACGGATATAGTATAATCCTTTATCTTTAATTTCCTTCTTCATGTGTGTAAAAATACCTAGCCAGTTTTACATAAAACGTTAAATGCCGAACGCTTATTTTTCTATTTTTTCGGACTAGTGAAATGGACTCTTAACTCTGTATAATAAGCCAATTACTAAAGCTTATAAAAAACTGTGTTTATGAATTAATGTTGAAAGATTTATGTACAGTTTGCTAAAAAAAATCATGAAAATTGGGCTAAAAGTTAAAAAAATAACACTTTAAACTTGAGGAAAAAATGTTCCGTTGCGTTTTTTTGCAAAAGAGGGTACATTTTTTTAATTTGAAAGTACTATTGAAGTTTTAAATATAATTTTCATGTTTACCTTCTGGTGGCGGATTATTCGGCAACGATGGACCTGTTCCAGGGTTTACTGGTTTCTCATTACCTTCTGGACAGATCACATAACAACCATCCAGCCGAGTTCTTTTCTGCATATGTTTATGTTTTAATAATTTTGATTTTGCCTTCCTATTTAGCAAAACTTTCTCTTTTCTTATATGCTTTTTGATTTGATGTTGCTTGTGATTTTTATTCTGTCTGTGATGCTGTTGATGTGCATTACGACTCTGGGTAACATTTGCTGAAATATACTTTAGTTGTTATTTTGTTGATAATTTTAATACCTCAATTATTCTAGAGTAAAATTATTTATTTAAATATTTTATGTAGTAGGTATTTATTTGAGTATAGAGATAGAATATAAAAATAGTTTCTATTTTGTAACTACCGTGATAAAAAAAAACGGCATCAAGTTGGCTTTGAAATGAACAGTGATTTTCATTCCCAAACCATTTTTGACGCTGTCATGAAAGCAGTTAGAATTATAATTTTTATTTATACAGGATGGTACGAACTGTGTTCCGGAAATTTCGGCAGTATATTCTGCAGATAAAAATAAGTAGAAAAGTTCGTATGAATGTATGTCCTAAAATGCTTAGTTTTGGGAATACAGGGTGTAGAAGTTTCATTTGTATTTCGATTTTTTCCAAATAATTTCTGAAGTAACGCCAATATTTGGATGAAAATTTTTGTCTGGGAGTTTTTTGGTATAAGAAATTTGATTTTGATGTGTCAATATGACTCCTACTTGTAGATAACCCCACCTATATATTTTTTAACTGGTTTGAAGAGTAATAATTTTTTGTCCGTACCTGTATAAAACTACTGAATAAAAAATATACATTTACTACGTTTTTTACGTAAAAAAGGGCTCTTGGTGAAAATCCCTACGAGTAATGGTTCTCGAGAACCTGTCATCATTGACATAAATTACACATCATGTTAACTAAATAGTTATTAAACCGAAATCATAAATTTGACATGATTTTGTGTCAAAAGTTCAACAGAAACTGTTTTATCATTATTTTTTCGAACGAAAATTTATGATTAATTTAAAAAATAAAAATTTCCCAAATTTGTCATTTCAGTTAAATAACTATCTACTCAACATGTTTATTTTTTCTCAATAATGACATGTATTAAGTAAGTACTTCCATTCTAAATATCTTGAGAACGGTTACTTGTAGCGTATTATATAAAGAGACATTTTTTAAGTAAAAAATCACGGAAATATATATTTTTTCAGTCTGTTTTATACAGATACGGACGAAAATTTATTACTCTTCAAAACAGTTAAAACACTTGTAGGTAGCGCTCCTTATAAGTAGCAGCCATATTGACATCGGAATCAAATTTCTCATGTCAAAAAACTCCCAGACACCAATTTTCATCCAAATATTGACATTACTTCAAAAATTATTTGGAAAAAATTGAAATAAAAATTAAACTTCTACTCTGTATCTCCGAAACTAAGCAATTAAGACATACATTTATACGAACTTTTTTTACCTATTTTTATTTACAGAATATACTGCCGAAGTTTCCGGAATACAATTCGGACCACTCTGTATATATTTTTAAATTTTTAGCCGACCATACCAGGTATGGTAAGCTATTAAGATCGGTAAAAAAAGAAGTTTTTTTTAATTTCACTCAAAATGAGTTATTTGGGTCATAAATGACCTAAATACAAAATATTTTCATGGTCTGTCTGTCTGTCCGTCTGTAACACGATAACTCAAAAACCGCTAAACCGATTTTAACCAAATTTGGCACAAAAATATTGTGGCACCCAAGAATCTGGCCATTAGTTTTTGGTGGGGGTGGGGGGTTGGTAAGGGGATATGGGAGCGGGTTAAAAATTTTAACAAATCGTAACTCCAAAATTACAGTAGCTAGAGAAACGCGGTTTTCAATTTGAGATTAGGAATAATATTAGCAACAAAATTTGTAATAGCATCAAAATTAGTCAAAGTCGCAGTTTTTGCGATAAAAAAATTGAAAAAATTCCTTTACTTTGAAACTAAAAGAACTGCCTACCAACTTTTTATTAACATATTTTCGTATGGGCGGCTACATGTGCCTCCCGGCGCCAATTTTTTACACTTTTTATTTAAATTGCAAATGGAAAAATAAACTCAAAATAAAGCACAAATACCTATATTGAAAGTTGTGATTGATGATTCTAAACAGATTGTGACGTTTTACCTGGATTTACTTTAGTTGTTGTATCTGTATCTTCTTCTTCTTCAGACGATTCCTCTGTAGTGTTTGTTGTAGTATTGTATGGTTTTGGACTGGTAACATTAAAGGGTGTAGCAGGCCGCTGTGTAGTTGTGTTATGTATCGGAGTACAATTGTGTAAGAAATTTGGCGGCAGCGGCAGCGGCGGCTGTCCAGGACACACCAAATCGCAATTTGGAGATTGTTGTTTATAATGTGGAGATTTTCGTCCATTGTGATGCCTATTGCTTTTAGAGTTTGTTGATTTATCTGTAATTTCATAATCAAATTAATACAAACCAAGAAAGTGCTTGTAGATTGTATTGTTGAAAACTTTGTAAGCAGAGTAAGGTAAAAGTGTGTCCAGGGAGAGAGGTGATGAGTTTGACAGACGATATTCAAAAAATTGACAGGACAAATTATTATGCTGTATTCCGTTGCAAAACCAGGCGAACCAGACCGGTAAACTACGATAAAGAGCGATTCCTGAAAAACATGGGTTTGATACGGAACGGTTTGGTAAAATACTGAAAATGTCAAATGTTGAAGTTTTCTAAATTTCAATACCTCTATTATAAAATTTATCTTTTATGAATTTTTAATGTACCTATTCTCTGCTTTTGCGTTTGCTTCTTCTTTTCAATGGAGTTTAATATTGAAAAGTACTTTATTAATAAACTGTAAAACCAGTGGCGTGCGGTGAAATTTATACAAGGGGAAGCGATTCGATAAAGTTAATAAAAAAAGTCGAAAAATATGTTTAACAGATCACATATAAACCACTACCTAGATTCATATTACTTGCTATGAATTATTAATTAAAAAGCTTGGTCTCAACGTATAGGGAAGCGCCGGCGCCGCGCCGCTTCCCCCGCTTCCATGGCCCGCACGCGCCTGTGTAAAACTCGTTAGACAGCTCAAGTGAAGATTTGCAGGTCCGATATTAAAACAGATCAATAATAAATAAACAAATCTAATCAAATTTATATTTTTATAGCTTACAAAACATTCACGATTACTTGTCTTGTTTTTCATGTTTTCTTTAAATGTTCCTGACTTTAAGAAACAATGGCTGCAGGATAAGTTTAAATGGTTCTAAAAAGTAATTCTATTTAGTTAATGAAATTTATTTACCTTTACTGCCTACCTCCATTGCTTTTGGATGTAAATACAAAATATTATAACAAATTTTAGAAATTAAATGAGAATTTCACTCGAACTGAGAAAATTTTATAAAACCAAACCAAACCAAACCAAACCAATATTTGCTTGATTTCTCTCACATAAATGACATTGATTGACCAACAAAACCAGAAAAACCAGCCTTCTCGCGCTGGTTAGTTTTGTGACAGTTATAACCGAATTTTTCCGGAACCGCGTTCCGTAATAAGAAAACTTTCAGGAAACCGATAGAAACGGAACATAAAACCATAACCAAGGTAAGCAACGGAAAACACTCAAACATTTGAATTTTAAATGACAGACAACAACTGCCACTGTCATATACTCGCTCATTGGACAGACTAAATAAATTATTCAATACTTAGTTAGCTCCAATATCAGTAATGTTACACTGGTAAAATATATTGTTACTAGCGTGTACCAGCGACTTCGTTCGCGTCGAATTACTCATTTGTAATGGTGATGATAAAGCAAAGCAAGAATTTCCTTTAACATACAAACTGGATAAAATTTTCTCACAATTATGTCAGTATGAGAAAAAACAGTATGGCGATATTATACATATAACTTGGTAATATTTGAGGGGTAGTTTCATCTCGTTGGAATTTGACTTTCGAAAAATCCGTTTGCCAAAAATAAGCTTTTTACGTCAAGCAGTTTAAGCAGAATCGTGGTTAAGAAATTACCCAACTTTTTGGAACACCCTGTATGATTTTTTAAAACATTTCAAAATATGTAAAAAAACCAAATAAATTATGCTTGTCCAAGCGTTTTCCCGAAAGACTAACCATTTTTTAAATAACAAATATTGTAATATATGAGGGGCGTTTTCACCCTCTTGGAATTTGAGATTCGAGAAACCCCTCCTTATCGAACCTCTACACCCCACAGTCAATCCGTTTTGCAAAAATCAGTTTTATACGTCAAGCAGTTTAAGCAGAATCGTGATTACTCAATGGTCATATTTTATGAAACACCCTGTATAAATTTATAAAAAATCTTAAAATATGTAAAACAACAAAATATAATATACGTGTTTAAGAGTTTTTCCGAAAAACTCACCGGTTTTAAAAAAAAATATTTTAATATTTGAGGGATAGTTTCACACTCTTAGAATTCGAGTTTTGAAAAATCCCTTCTCATCGAAGCTCTACACCCTAAAGTCAATCTGTTTTCCAAAAATCAGCTTTTACGTCGTTTTTTTACGTCAAGCGCTTTAAGCAGGATCGTGATTAATCAATGACCAGATTTTTCGAAACACCCTGTATACATTTTTAAAAAATCTTAAAATATGTAAAAAAACAAAATAAAATATTCGTCTTTAAGCGTTTTTTCGGAAACTTGATCGTTTTTTAAATAAAAAATATTGTAATATTTGAGGGGTGGTTTCACCCTCTTGGAACTGGAATTTCGAAAAATCCCTTCTTATCGAAACTCTACACCCTGGAATCAACCTGTATGCCAAAATTGAGCTTTAAGGATCGTGATTAATCAGTATGTCAGTCACTTAAGGATTTTATATATTAGTATAGATAGTAATTAATTATTGCTAAAGTCTGTCCAACGAGTTAAAGAAGATTTTGACAGAGGACATCCAAAATCTGATAGAAAATTCAATTAACTCATACATGAATTTATCTGATAATTAAAATGACATATAACATTCGACATACTTTAACAAAATAGTTTAATACATTTAGAAATAATATTTTTAGAATTTTTGGTTCTTTACCTGGTAAAACTACACTTCCTACTATAACTATTAATAATAGGACTAAAATAAATTGTGTATTTCTGGACATAATTATTAATACTTTTCAAATATATTAAAACACTTTGATATTTTCGAATAAGGGATTTTAATGCAGAACACAAACTTTACAGAAAGTAGTGACTTAAAAATATGTTTGTAAAATACAAAAGAATTTATCAGAATTAAGGAAAATAGTTTTCTTTATACGTGTACGCATATTTGAATATTCATGAAGGTGAAAAGGTATTTTCTGTGATTAGGTTTGGCCAAACTACTTTTTTCCTAGATATATAATTTGCTTCCTATGATAAGCTTTTGTATAGGATATTAACGGTATTCTAATTGGGAATTTAAAGAACAGAACATTATTATTAAAAAATTTGGTCAAGTGCGAGTCGGACTCGCGCACGAATGGTTCCGTACCATTCATTATCTATACAACATTAGACACTATATTATTATAAACTTTTTTCCGATTTAGCTGAAATTTTGAATGCGCGTATAAGTAATTTAAAAAAAATGAAGAAACACATTACTAAAAATTGTATTAATCAATAATAAATATGTAAAAAGTAAAAATAAATATGTAAAAATATATGAAAATTAAAAAAAAGACGATTAAAAAAAGTCGCCTTGACTAGGATTCGAACCTGCCTTACTACGGCTCCAACGTCATAGGAGCGTAAAGTCCTAACGCTTTAAACCACGCGGCCACCGAGGACTTGAAAGATTCTATGTAAAATTCTTACTTAAAAGATAATGTTTAGTGAAAGTACTTTTTTATTTATCAACATTTATTTAATTCTGTTTTTAGTATTTGTTCTTATAGCGGCAAACTAGATACATTATCTGTAAAAATTTCAACTGTCTAGCTATAACGGTTCATAAGATAGACCTTTGTGACAGACGGATGGATGGACGAACGGACAGCGAAGTCTTAGTAATAGGGTTCCCGTTTTTACCCTTTGGGTACGGAACCCTAAAAATAATATAATTGTGAATTAAAATGACACATATCAACTCCTACTCTTTTGCTGGACAATTTGTATCTTATAAAGATTTAAGATCATGCGCTATGACCTTAAATAGATAAAATCTGTCCAACAAGATGTAAAAATTATATTTCATATCATTTTTTGGATGTTGTTTTTCGAAATCATCACTGATTTGTTGGACAGACTTTACCTCTACCTCTATTGTCATACGGTTCTTCGCCTTTCTCTACAGAGGAATCAGAGCTGCAATAAGTCAGTTTTAAAAAGACTTAAGTCTTGTCATTTCTAAAATCAAAATGATTTAAGTCTTAAGTCTTTGATTTAAGTCATTTTATTTCAAGTCAAGTCATTTTTGTAAAGACACAAATCAACATAACGGTATTTAAGTCTTTTTTATGACTTAAGTCTATATTTTGACTTAAATCATAATTAATAATTATTTTGACTTAAACTAAAAAGACTTAAATCATTATAATTACCCTCAAGTCAAGACCACCAGAACTCAATTTAAGTATCTTTTTTATTAACAATTAAAAAAGATAGGTTAAAAATGGTATGATACAATCTGATAGACAATTAAATTGTGCATCTGGTTCTCATAAGATATACAGGGTGTTCCGTTTTAATTAAACAAGTTATTGCCGTTTAAAGCTGGTAATTATTTAAAATAAAATTTTAGACACTCTGTATAAGGTAGTATAATTTTTATTATTGCAACACAATAACTGATCAATAAATAAACTTAGCCTTAAATATTTAGTATTAAAAACTTTGATATAGTCTATAAAATGAATAACTTTGAATTTTGACCGTTATTTTTTACCAACATGGCAAATATAAAATCCCTCTATCAAAAAAGTTACTGATATTCTTTAAGTATTCTTTAAATTGAGTGCCTGAACGAATCAGATAGGTAACTCTTTTTACTTTCGTGAAATAGAAAAGGAAAATAATAAAACAAGTGACAGTTCTTCCTCTTCTTGCAAAAATCAACACGAAATGGCATAATTGTCAAAAGTAAAATGTCATCAGCTTTTGACATTTCTAACTATCAGACCAATGCCGTCTCTAATAGAACAGCCTCGAAGCGAGATTTATGACGTCACGCTAATTAGATACGGATTAATAAATATGTTGTAGAATACATGGAAAACATAATTATTCCTCGTAGTTTACATGAAATATACAAAATATACAGTTAATAAATATAATATATATATATATATATATACCTATTTATAGTAATAAATACTTTGGCAAATAAACTATGAACCATACAAATGCAGCAAATGTTTTGCAATATACAAATAATGAATAATGGGTAAAATGTAAAATATATTTTAAATTTTGGGGTTTGAAAATCGATCTAATTTAACAAAAAACATTCAATATATACTAATAGTGATGTATTATTATTTGCATTCACAAAATTTATTTGTACATAATATATTTTGCAAGTATCAATGTTGGAAAAATTATATTTGCAAATAATACAATATCTTAGAAAAAAATGCGTCAGCGATGGCTATGAAATAAAGATCGCTGTCATTTTATAATGTAAAATTATTCTAAAATTTTTGATTTTCTTGGGATTTAGGTTCGGGAAAACCGTTGATTAAGTTTTCAGCTGGTTTTTTATTATTTTTTTTGGTTTAAAAAAACGTTTCGGCTAACAATATAGCCTTCATCAGTGTTGTGTCATATAAAAAAAATAGTGTCGAATATAATCCAAAAAATTGCATATAAAATATTCACACCACACATCACATAATGTTTACTGCAATTAATAAACTAATATACACTTGTCAAAAGATGACCACATATTTTTTTAAATTATTATTCTTAACACTAAAACTATCTACATTGACTATGGAATACGATTTCAGTCATAGTCAAATATAAGGAATAATTATGTTAGCGTGACGTCATAAATCTCGCTCCGAGGCTGTTCTATTAGAGACGGCATTGCGTCAGCATGGCCGCAAGTTGCTAACCTAATAAAATTAACACTAGAAAAGCCCGCGGGAACTGTCAAATTCAAAGTTATTCGTTTCACAGACTATACCCTTGGAGAAATGAAGCCTTAAAATTTTGACATTGCAATTTCACAAAATTGAAAATATTTCAAAAACGGTAAGGTTTAAGTGTAATAAACCTTTATCGAATTTACCTTTATTTTAATCGTCGAAACTAAAAATATAATAATATACAGGGTGTTCTGTTTAAAAAAGTACAACTTTGATATTTTTTATTTATTTGGGACACCCTGTATCTTGTAAAAATATTTTTAAATTGTAGCTTTAATAGTCCTTCAACGAACCCAAAACTTACAATTTGTAAAAATCTAATCGTTTAGCTACAATACTCCCTGTCGTATGTGGTGAACAACCCTGTAGATAGATGTCATCGAATACATGTCTATTAAAAAGTGGTGATGTGTTTTGATCACTATGTAATATATCGATGGCATAAGCTAAGAGCTGGCGGCATACATAACGGAGTTGGGGATTCACTTGAAAGACAATAGACTCACTACGAACTACGCACGCGTAAGCTTGATTTTCATGTATCCGTTGTCCGACGATACATTGATACGATATTAATTTTATTGGTAGAATTTAAAGACTTTGATTGGTTAGAAAATAACGCAGTTTTTAAATTTATTGCATTTTCATGCCTCCGTTTATCGGATATACGTTGGTGTTATTTTATATTTTCGTTTCCATAACGATTTTGCTATTTTACTTATATTTTTATTAAAGTTAGATTAAATTTGTAAAAAAAGTGTCGAAACGTCGGTTATCGTATGAACGGGTCCGTTGACGGGCTGAAGTAAAATATTTACGGATGAAAAGTGGCGCGAAAACGCTATGACCAATCAGAGCACCGTCGGACCATCATATCAAGGTATAACCACAAATTATGTATAACGGATGCATGAAAATCAAGCTTCTCGAAAAATAATCAAAACCGTTTCCGAAAAAATTACATTTTATTTACTAGTGGAATTAAGCATTGTTTTTTTATTCTGCTGCTTGGCTGCTGCCTAACAGTTTAAAAAGAAATGCTCCTGTTAAAAATTTATCATAAAAATATATAAAAATCTGACTTAAGCCTTTTATAAAAGGGCTTAAATCTTTTTAATGACTTAAGTCTTTTCTAAAAAGACTTAAATCTTTTTCTATTTAAGTCTTTTTTTAAGTCTATTTTAAGTCTAAAAAAAAGTTTCATCAGCTTTTGAAAAATGACTTAAAATAAAGTGACTTAAGTCAAAAAAAGACTTAAGTTGTCTGTGAGCTTGCAGCTCTGAGAGCAATAGAAATTTTCATAATTACAGGTATTTCTCTGAAATTAGGGTGTAAATCGCAATAGTAATTATATACGCACAATAGTCGCACAACACGTAGGGTACGTGTTGTGCGACTCAATTTGACTGCATTTTCAAGCTCCAGATTTGAGTTGTTCGATATTGACTGGGATTAAAAAGCAAAACTCATTGCCAGGACTTTTTTAAAAATATTAACTCTTCCTTCCTTATTTATATTTGAATTCGTTTGCCTAATACGTAAGCATGTATCAGCTTCTCAAGAAAGGCCATCTCACACTTATCCACTCAGGAACGCGGAGCAAGATCTTTATCTACCTACCCCACGCTCATAGTTAAAAGTTCAACATTATACAACTCGAAAAAAATGCACAATCACCTGCCATTTGAAATCAAATCCATAACATCATTTTCTTCATTTCGCAAAGCTTTGAAATCTTATTTACTAGACAAGGCTTTCTACGCCGTAAATGACTTATATTTTGATAATCTAATTTGATCTTGTAAACACTGGTCTAATATTTGCTATTACCATATTTACTATAAACTCACTAAATATTTTTGAATATTATTTTTATTTTTTTTTATTCTTTGACATTGTAAACATTTATAAATGTTTATTTTAAACAATAAGACTGACAATGTAATTTGTATACTTGCTTTGTATTCTCTTTTGTTTGTTTACTTTACCTTTGTCTACAAATTGTAAATTTTTTTGACAATAAAGGCATTTATTTATTTATTTATTTAATTGGAAGAACTTTAAAGCCATTTAACAAAAAAAAAACGATGTATTTGTATGACGTAAATTATGAAATACACTTATGACAAATATTTTATCAGATACCTATTTAGGGAATTTACATTTTAAAGTAATCTATTTCCAAGGTTTTTACGTTACATTCTTCTTTACAGGCAAATAATTTAAAAAATGCATTTTCCGTGATATGCGGCATATTTTTTCATATAAATATTAACCCTCGCGTAATAAATACCAGTGCCATACATAGCTAACATCTACTTGTTAGCTATAGAAACAAACATGGCTAATCTCTCTATTCTTTTGATTGTGGTGCTAGCAACCTTTAGTGGTAAGTGATTTGTTTTAATACATTTATTTTATTATATAGTACATTATTAAATATTAAAGAAAAAATAAAGGTTTTAATGATTTTATTTAAGCTAATATATTTTTACTTTGGTTTTTTGTTATAATTTTAGATGTTGTAACGCGAGATAATCCTATCATTTTATATAATTTATGTTTTAGGGTCGTCTGCGCATAAATCATTTAGCAACAGAGTTTTGAGTCTGCCCACCTGCTCTATTGTATGCAGTAAGTAACAAATTTATTTTTTTACTTTTTTAATATAGACACATATTATATTTGTTGTAGTAGTAGGTATTAGCAGTCTTAAATAATTATTACATAGCTTGTGAAAGGATTGTTGTTCAAAAATATTATTATTATTAATTATAAATATGTTTTCAGGCTCATCTAATTTAACTACCGTAAGTGCAGGAAGGTAAGAACTTAATTAGATTCAATTGATTAATTTTTATCAAATAATTTGAAACGCTTTAATTTAACCTTTTTTTATATTATTAAATTTAATTTTTTTTATAATATAATAAAAATATATTATATTATAATAGTTATTTTTTATACAAGACGATAAAATGGTATTTTATCGTAGACCGAAAAGATTATAATTCACGAGCGATGAAATCGCAACTGAATTAATTTCGGGAGACGATAATGCAATTTTATCGTCGTGTATAAAACAATATTTTTTTCCATACCGAGTTACGTTTTAAAAAATATTCAGAAATTATTATTTCAAGGAATTTATTACCAGTAGAAAAAATATTGTTCTGGGTTGGCGTTGGTTTCTATGTAATTTGACAAATATATAAAGCTGTCTCTTTAGTTGTCAGTTTTGAGTCAATATTTTTTAATTCTCTTTCGTGTCGATTGCTGATTGAATTGGAGCCAGAAATGACTCAAAACGAAATTAGTAAATTACCAACAGATATTCAGGCTGAGGCGAAAAACGCCATATCGAAACTACTTCCATTTAAATCCCGAATAACTTATGAAAAGGAATACAAAAATTTTCAAAAATGGAAGCAATTAAAAAACGTGCGATAAGAAATAAAGTGTTTAACCTATCCTCGCTGTTAAAGTATCATTGAATCTACCCTCGCGATTAAAGTACTATTTTATCTACTATTTTTGATAGATATAAGGCAATTTTAACAGTTGCTATGGAAAAAATATAATTAAATATAATATAACTAAATTTCAGTTTCAAACTTGTTCAAAAAAATTCTCTGGATATTTCGCCACTTGCACTGCAAGAAAATCTACAAAGTAAAATAGTTAATTTTCGTTTTAACACTGCTGCGTTATTCCAACAACGGAGACCAACTTGTCAGCAGTGTTTGACTAATTAAACAAATTTGCCTAACGGACAAAAAAATGCTTAACGTTTCAGGAAGTACATCTCTTCCCGTCGCCGGAAGCAAAAAATAAACACAAATAACAGACAAAAGAAAAATCTATTTAAAATATCTAAATACAACAATTCAAGAACACTTTAGTTTCTTTCAATAGATACGTCTATACAGGGTGAGTCTTAAATAAGTGCAAATATTTTAAGGGGCAGTATAATTTCGCCCTAGAAACACGTCTATGAAGTTTGTTTTCCAAAAAAAAATATTTTGAAAGGTAAAAAAAAGTTTGTCTGAAAAAGTTCTGATTTAAACAGAACGTCAACTGTTTTTATAGACGTATCTCTGCTGAAAAAATCTAAAGCAATGTTCTTGAATAGTTCAGTTCTATTTAGATATTTTAAATAGTTTTTCCTTTGTTCTTTGTGTTTCTTTGCTTCCGACGACGCGCGACGGGAAGAGATACCCTTCCCGAATGGTTAAGCATTTATATGTCCGTTACTCAAATTTTATTTTTTAGTCAAACATCGCTGACAAGTTGATCTCCGTGGCGAAATATCTATAGGCTTGGTGCATTTTAGTTGATTTCAACAAATTCCGACCGCAGCGCGCTCTACGGCAAAAATCACAAAATATCAATATATAGTACACGCCGCGCCGCCGCGCCGTCATGTCGATCGCATTAAAATAATATTGAAATCGAGGTTTTGTCATAATATTTAAGTATTTTAGTTTTTTGCTAGTGCAATTATTGAGACTATAAAACACTCAGGTACGAGGTTTGTGTGATGAACGCTGTTTCGGGTAGTAAAAACTAAGTGAAAAAGAATTCGAACTAGGCGTCTTGTTGTGTTGTGACAATTTCAAATATTAATAAAATTGCCCAAAAAAATGTTAACGCGTACAGGAGAGCGTAATTAGGGCGTTGTTGGGTGCAATAACATTCAATAACTCAACTTTCCCGGATATTCAACTCTCCCGAAACAACATTTTATAGCTTCATAATTTCTTACACCGATTTGATCAATAGTAAAAATGGATTCAAGTAGTTCGACGAAACAAGTGAGAAAACAAAGTGCTCGTGACTTAATCAAAAAATTAAATGACATATACTATGAGAGGATGAAATATAATTTGCAATATTACTGGTATATTTTTTTAATTAACTAGTGATTATGCATATCTTCTAAAATTATAAGTATGTACCTTTAAAAAATTTCGTTAAAGCCGAAATAGCTCCAATTATGCCCCACTAGCAAAACCGGTGATAAAACTATGCTCGCTACCTTAGTTGAACTCATCTAAAATTTGTTGTTAACTGGAATAATAAATTACAATACAAGTTAGACCTTCGGAAAATATAAAAATATTTACCTTTTTATTTTTTTGTTTAGAATTTCTACAAATTAACACTTTTAGAATAATTATATACTAATTTTTTCGTTTACTCGCCATTTAAACCCCTATATTTGTATGTATTCGTTATTTACGAGTTCTCCGGCGGTGGCAGCACCGGCGGAGAATGCACCAAGCCTATAGGACTTTTTTCAACTGCGTGTATACTTTAGTTGCATTGATTTTAGTACACCAACTACGGCTGGCTCATCTAGCTCGACTAGCACCAGTACGACTACTACTGCAACTACACCTACAACTACGCCCACTACTACTCCTACAACCACACCTACTACTACACCTACAACCACTGAAACTACAACCACATCTACAACGCCTGTTCCCGTGACGTATCCAGCTTGCCCCAGTATATGTCAAGCTGCCAATGGAACGGTTTATATATTTACTGCCGGTGGTCGTAAGTTATTAGTTACATTATTTTATTCAACTGTAATTTTTAATCTATTTCGTTATTTTTTAGAGGATCGAGCCCACAAAGCCTACAAACACCAATCCAACAAAGGGCATTTGAAAGGTAACTTGATAGTTTAGTATAACTCGTCAAATATTGGATGATATTTGGCCATTTTATAACCAATGTATATCAACACAGTGAGAACCAGTGGCGGCTCGTAGTTATTATTGTAGGGAGGTCAATATCAAAAAATATTGCGTCGATTTTTTTTAAGACGCGACCAAATTTAGTTGGTTTCTTACAAGGTACGTTTTGTTATAGGAAAATAAATCTAAAAATAAATACAAATTATGTTAAAATGAAACCTACCCTTACATTTTTAAACAGGTGGTCTAGTGCCATTTCACTAAAAATCCACTCAATGTTCTTTACACAAATTTTCCACGGTAGGATTTAAAACACACTTACATAATAATGGCACAAAAATATAAATACATATATACACATACACATTTCTAAAAGTTTTATTTCACATTTTTTTTTATATTTTAAGTCAATCGTCTAAACGTTTTTCGAAATTTAAGCAATTGTCTTCTTTTAATCGCACGATTTGTTGTCTATTTGAAAATATCTATTCCAGAATCAGTTAACAAGAGTTCATCATTTATCCAGAACCAGAAAATTATGAATTATTACCTACACAAATTTCGCGCTGCATCTCAAACCCTCGGCTACGACAAAGCTACGGCAACTAAAACTAATTTTTCTGGTTTCTAAACAAAGATAAAAACCGCAACTTTTTATATCGTCTGTCAGTAAACTACCAAATACAAGTGTAAAAATATAAAGTTGCCTACCTTACAAATCCTTTTATGAATGACGCGGTCAGTTGCCAATATAAACCCATTATATTTTCTATACGTAGTATACTTTACCTTGTTGGCTTCACGTAAAATAAAATGTTTTCAATCGAAAACTAGACAAATTGGGAATAGTTTTGAATATTTTAGGATGAAAAAAAGTGAAAAGTGAACGAACCGTATTCTAAGCAGTGAATCAAATCTCACGATTCATTTTTAATACTCGTTCAAATGAACGACTTGTTCGATTTTTTCCCACCTCGATTCTATACTGTTTTGGGTCTTTTCTTTCCCGTCCATGTCTCAAATGAAACCGTTTTACCTTACAACTGAATAAAAAAAGAGAACTGGTCGCCTGTTATCCGATATTCGCTTGATCTTTACCGACAGTTCAAGCAAGCAGCGCGAGTCGTGCCGCCGGCTTTTGGTTGCGGCAACTTTTTAATGATTTCAGCAACCTGCCTCGCCGACTTTCGCCGTCATCACAAGCCGCCGGCTTTGCACAGTTTGGCGTGTGGTCCCTGCTTTAGAAACCATTACTCTGAATTTGAAATAAGAAATTTTTATATTGTATTAACTTGAGATAAAATTGAAAAAAGAAATACGAGTAACATAAAGTTATATGAAGACTGATCATTTATAATAGTAAAAGTATGTTAACATACCTGATTGTTTTAGAACACGAAAAACACCATCACGAACAGAACAAAGAGCACCACCAGAATAGAGAACACCAGAACCAACACGCGGCACACGAACGTCTCCACCACCAGAATAAGGAACATCATCAGGTGAACAAGGAACACCAGCATGACAGAGTTCACCACGAAGATAGACAACATAGAGAAAATCACTAAAAACCTGTGATATAATTTCGGATTCCTTGAGGGATTAACTTACAGGAACTTTTTAGTCCTTTATGATAATTTCTTAAAGAATCCGTATTTTAATTTGATTTTATTTATAACAACTCCGGCGACTTTCTATACTGATCTTTCGTTAAGTTTTACTCTAGTACCTACATCATTAAAATAAGTGCATACCATTTTATTTTTTGTACAAATATTTAAGGGGATTAAAACGAACTAATTAACTATTTGGTTTTATTTCGTTAACAGAAATCTACTAAGAATGAAAAGTAACTTAACAGCAAACGGATCTTTAGTATTTCATTTTTTCTAGGAATTTATTTTTTTATTCCAAAGTTAAAAAGCACTAATATGCAGATTTTTACATTAATTTAGAACAGTTAAAAAAAATAAAAAAATAAGATGTGTTCAAGTATAAATATTCTAGCTATTGATAGTACGAGAGCTAGCAACGTCGGAAAAACAAGTATTTTAAGACGTCTCTTTGATATATCTTTTATTATGCTCTCTAGAACAGCATGCGGCCCGTCTGGCTGCCGGTAAACGTTGCGTTCTCTACTGCGCCTTGAAAGAAGATCCTATATTTTTATTAGTCCTTTAAATTCTAGTATTGAATATAAATCGAATATGTCTCCATAGCGCAGTGCGTAGAGTTTCAGACCACGAACCGTTGATTCAGAGTTCGAATCCGGGTCAGGGCAAAGACTTTTATTTTATTTTCGTTTATATTCTGATAGTAAAGTATTAAATATTTGGTTTTTTGAATCATCAGAATTACTTAATACTTTACTATCAGAATATAAACGAAAATAATATAAAAAAGTATTTGCCCTGACTCGGATTCGAACTCTAAATCAACGGTTCGTGGTCAGAAACTCTACGCACTGCGATATGGAGACATGTTCGATTTATATTCAATATTAGAACTTATAGGACTAAATTAATAAAAAATATAGAATCTTCTTCCGATGCGCAGTAGTGAACGCAACGTGTATCGGCAGCCTGTAGAGCATAGTAAAAGATATATCAAAGAGCCAGACGTCTTAAAGTACTTTCTCGAAAACGTTGCTAGCTCTTAGACTATGAGAAAATGCAGTGAATTTTATATTGACACAGACAGTCAAATCTAGTTAAGGTGAAGACTTAATGATAATTCTAAATCAGTTATTTCTTGTTTTGTGCCAGCTGCATCTCTAAAGAACATGTAATTTCTCTCTTTATAATTTTCTTTTCGTCAGACTCATTCTCTACATTAGTTACACCAATCTCATTTAGCTCGATTTCTTCTAATTTTATCTTCTTCTCTTCCTCCTCTTCTTTTTCGACCATTTCCTTTATAATTTCTAACTGCTTTTTCAGTTCTTGTATCGATTCATTATCATCACATATTTCTTCTGTGGTATCAGCGGTGACTGGACTTTTTGTGAATAAATAGGGAGTTAATAAAAAAGGCTTTTCTTCCAGATCTTCGGGCATAAACATTCCCATGTCGTTGAAATGCTTCTTCAAATACTCATCAGTTATTTCAACTTTTTCTCTGGGTCTTTTCATTCTCGGTAATTCTCTTCTTTTGGCTTGAGATTCTTCTTCTATTGCCATGAATTTTTTTAATATTTTTTCTTCTTTTCTCAATGCGTCTGTGTAGTCCTCCATGATTTTTTCTCTAGCTAGCTTGCTTTTCTTGGTAAATTCGTCGAAACTTTTATTAAACGCCTTGATTTCTTCTCTAACTTCCGATATAGTGTTACATACGATTCGTGCGTTATTTCCGGAATCTTCAGAAATTCCTTCTTCGTCCATGATTATCTCACCATCTCTCTGGTTGAACACTGGATAATTTTTCGACATCTTCAAAACCTTATGTATGATTGAAGAATTATCTTGATCTTCATCAATTTTAGTTTCGGTTTCTTTACATGCACTCCTGGAGCAAATACTTTCAGTGGTGTTCCTAGCGTAAATGATCTTATCGTTTTCTTCGGCAATATTCTTAGGCGGCTTTATTTCAAATTCCGGTTTTTCTTCTTTGCTTGACAGAAGCAACAGCTCGCAGAGTTCGTCTTTAAAAGCGTTTTCCTCTTCCTGCCGTTTTTTTCTATCAATGGGTTCCAGAATAATACGATTTTCTCTAGGAACGTTGATTTTCCATGTAAGTAACTCCCTGTAACTCCTGTCTTCATGCAAATCATCTTGTTTCTTCGATATTTCGCCGTATAAGCTCGTTTGAAGCTCTTCCTTGGTTTTAACTTGTACAGTGAAATCTCCCTCTCCAATTTCATCAGGAATTTCAAAAATATTTAGATCGGATCGATCAATGTCGTGCACAAAACTGCTATTTAGAGGAAGTTGCTTCTCATTTTGCGAAAGGGTCTGTTGGTCTGGCTCATTTATCTCATCAGTGATGCTGTTACTAGTCTGGTTTTCATGGGTTACATCAGATTTGCGGCATGTATAAACGCTTTTCGGTTTTCTCTCCATTATTTCGATATCTTCTTCATTTTCCTCGTTTCCTCCTTCACAAAAGTGACAGTGACATTTATCAACTTGACAATCATCACATTTTTTTCTGAAATATATAAGATGTTCTATGTCTATATCATCAGCTGAACTCTGTGGGTCTAATGCATCCGATAATTCTAGGGAAGATTCAGATTCATTATGATTCATAATATCATCATTTGTGCATATGTCCTGTATTACAGTGTCATTATTTTCTTCCTGTACAACACAACAGCATTTATCACAATTATTTTGGGTAACTCCTTCATCAAACTTCTCTAGTTTTATACATAACTGTTTTGAACCTATTTCTTTTTCAATGTTCTTTTTGATATCATCTTCGGAAATAATGTTACAGTTACACTGTTTAGGTAAACAGATTTCACACTTGCTATTAATCATAGGATTAGTTTTACTTTCATCTAGTTTTTCTAACCGTATGTACAGTTCTTTGGAGAACTTATCATCGTTACCATCAAGTATTTCTGTATCTATGTTATCCTTAGAATAAATTATATCATGGGATTCATGAGAATCATCAACCATTTCGATCGTATCATTTATAGATATTGGTATAGTATTTTTGGTTTGTTTCAATTCGGTTTCATTGGAACATTCAATAGCTTTACATATATTATCAATGACGGTTTGAACTACTTCTTCATCCTCTTTATTGGTTATATCATATCCTTCCTCCGCAGATAACGGTTGACTTATACTGCACTCGTCGATCTCAACTATCAAAGGTTTATTTATTTGTGAAGTGTCGTTCATATAATCATTTGAGTGTGTCTGTTTTTGATATTCCGCCAAGGATGGTTGACTTGAACTGGGTTTACTAACTTCAATTATGAATGAATCATTTGATCTTGAAGATGCTAATGTATCATCTACAATATTTTCTGATGTATTATCATTACCAGCGTTCTTAATATTTGTTTTATTTGTCGAATCAGTAAAGTTATTTTCTGATTTTGTATTATTCTGATATCCAACAGCTTTGCATATATCACTAATAACCATTTGAAACGATTCTTCATTCTGCCTTTTAATTATATCTTTTGCATTATCTTTATTATCATTTTGCTCATCAAATGTATGTTGACTGGTGCTGGGTTGGTCGATTTCAACGACCAAAGATTTCCTTGGTTTTGGTGAACCTAGAGAAAAAAAACGTAAAATAAGAAATAAAATCTTAAATTATGATTTCTTTGCTTACTTTTCCTTGAGTAATCAAATATTCTTGATCGATACTGTGAATAATCTTCATTTGGTTGTCGATCTCTCATGAAATCGTCAGAATTGTTGTCAGAGTTTGAATTGGAATCGTTTTCAGAAGATCGCGATGTTTCGTGACCGTAGTTGTAATTCGATTCTTCTCTTTCTTCATCTGAAGAGAGTTCTGCTTCGGTATCGGTTCGAGAATAGTTGGTTTCAGCTAAATAATATATCAATTAAATGACAGAGTGAAATTGGTTAGGCGAAGATTTGTTATTGATTTTTCTATTTCTTAGTTAAATCTTTATAATCAGTTGTAATAATATAGTTCTTACCAAAAACTTCTAAATAAAGGGAGATAAAACAATTTACATTTTATCGCGATCACGAACCGTGTTCCGCAAAAATCGATAATGACAGATTTACGCGGTATGTGATAGAATAAGGTTCGAGTTCCAAATGTTATTATTGTTATTAATGTTTTTTGGGTACCTATAGATACGTTAAACTCTGTTAAACTAAATATTTGTATAGGTATATAACTTTAATTAATATACATAGATTGTGCCAGAATTATATCTTTGAAATAATTTTTAGTTTACTAATTAAATTATATTAGGGAAATTACAATAATGTGCTAGTAAAAAGCTAAATATAAATACTATATACTTTTTATTATACATGGTTTCTCAATATTCCGTGGACATAGAACTACTACGCATTTTTGTAATCAAATTAAGTTCATTGGACACAATCTACCTCTGTATAAAAGTGCTTCGTTTGTCCGCTAGATGGCATCAAACTTTAAAAAAATAAACACATTTTTTCAAATATATGAATCGTTATTCCGATTTGAATGCAATTTTGGGTGTCTATGTTTTGCTAAGTATCCGAATTTTTTGGAAAACCCTGTATAATTTAGTTTTAATGTGTGGTCAGGATTTCAATAATATAATGATTATCTATCACTGTCCTAGAAAGATATATTAAACTCGACGTACACTGTTATTCTAAGCCTACTATGATAAGTTTTATTTTACTCTAAAGATGTCAAATATAATTTTGAAAAAAAGAAAAAGACATATCTTTCAAAGACATTTGGATATTAAATTGGTTCTAATCATATAGATAATAATTGTATATACAGGGTGTCCCACTTAAGATGGATACAAGCCAATATCTTGATTGTTTGTTGAGCGATCTTTTTCATTTTTGGCAGAAGGCTGTATGGGTATAAGACGTACATTTTGTCCAGGGTAAGAAATGTGATACTTCATAGACGTACGTTTTAATGGGGTTTGATATTTTTCGAGTCAAGAGTAAACTACCCTTAGGACAGTTTTTATTCCAAATCTAATAAATTATATTGAATCCTCCTTACCCAAGATACTTAAGTTCTAATTTTGATAAATATTGATACAGGGTGTGTTATTAAAATAAGACATTTTTATTTTAATTATTATTTTTTTAAGTACTTACGACGCCACTGGATAAACAACTGGTTTATTATCAATAACCAATTATTATGAATTAATAATCGATTTAAGTTTTCAGATAGATATTTTCCATAATTAAGATACGATACAAAAAAACTAAATATTTTCAATTTATTTTGTTTATTAAAAAATTGCTTTTTAAGTTTGCTAATACAAATGAATAAAATGAGTTACAAAATTATTTAAAAATCCAGTTTTCAATGGAATCTGAAATATGATTTTTATTCGCTTTATTGAGGAATATTTAAAAAAATCCAAATAGTTATTTAAAACAATCACTATTAACTTTGAAACATACGCTCTAAACAAAGATTTATAAAACTACTAGTGTGTACCAGCGACTTCGTTCGCGTCGAATTAATCATTTGTAATGGTGATGATAAAGCAAAGCAAGAATTTCCATTAACATACAAACTGGATAAAATTTTCTCACATGTCTGTCAGCATAAGAAAAAACAATATGGCGATATTATTATATAACTTGGTAATATTTGAGGGGTAGTTTCATCTCGTTGGAATTTGACTTTCGAAAAATCCGTTTGCCAAAAATAAGCTTTTTACGTCAAGCAGTTTAAGCAGAATCGTGGTTAAGAAATTACCCAACTTTTTGGAACACCCTGTATGATTTTTTAAAAAATTTCAAAATATGTAAAAAAACCAAATAAATTATGCTTGTCCAAGCGTTTTCCCGAAAGACTAACCGTTTTTTAAATAACAAATATGTATACTAATATTTGAGGGGCGTTTTCACCCTCTTGGAATTTGAGATTCGAGAAACCCCTCCTTATCGAACCTCTACACCCCACAGTCAATCCATTTGCCAAAAATCAGCTTTAAACGTCAAGTAATTTAAGCAGAATCGTGATTACTTAATTACTAGATCACTAAATTACTAAAATCGTAATTACTAAGAATCGTGATTACGCAATGGTCATATTTTATGAAACACCCTGTATAAATTTATAAAAAAATCTTAAAATATGTAAAACAACAAAATAAAATATACGTGTTTAAGAGTTTTTCCGAAAAACTCACCGGTTTTAAATAAAAAATATTTCAATATTTGAGGGATAGTTTCACCCCCTTAGAATTCGAGTTTCGAAAAATCCCTTCTTATCGAACCTCTACACCCTAAAGTCAACCTGTTTTCCAAAAATCAGCTTTTTACGTCAAGCGCTTTAAGCAGGATCGTGATTAATCAACGGCCAGATTTTTCGAAACACCCTGTATACATTTTTAAAAAATCTTAAAATATGTAAAAAACAAAATAAAATATACGTGTTTAAGCGTTTTTTCGGAAACTTGACCGTTTTTTAAATAAAAAAATATTGTAATATTTGAGATGTGCTTTTACCCGCTTGGAACTGGAATTTCGAAAAATCCTTTCATATCGAACCTCTACACCCTAGAATCAAACTGTATGCCAAAATTGAGCTTCTACGTTGAGTGGTTTGAGCAGGATCGTGATTAATCAGTATGTCAGTCACTTAAGGATTTTATGTATTAGTATAGATAACAAAGTGAAAGTCAACATCTTCGACCAAACTTAAATCGATTATTAAGTAATTGATAATTGGATATAATTGGTTATTGATAATAAACCAGTTGTTTATCCAGTGGCGTCGTAAGTACTTAAAAAATAATAAAAAAAATAAAAATTTCTTATTTTAATGACACACCCTGTATCAATATTTATAAAAATTAGAACTTAAGCATCTTAGGTAAAGAGGATTCAATATAATTTATGAGACTTGAAATAAATATTGTCCGAAGGGTAGTTTACTCTTGACTCGAAAAATATCAAACCCCATTAAAACGTACGTCTAAGAGGTATCGCATTTCTTACTCTGGGCAAAATGACTTATAGCCATACAGCCTCCTGCCAAAAATGAAAAAGATCGCTCAACAAACAATCAAGATATTGGCTTGTATCCATCTTAAGTGGGACACCCTGTATATTTGATATTAAAATATTACCTAAAACACTTGCCGAATCATTCTGAGTAGTTAGATTTATACTGCTCAAATTATGCTGAAACAAACTTTCCGCATCGCTTTCTGAATCCACTGCGGAAGTGCAAAAACCGCTATCTGGATTTTGGGCATTTTCTTCTCGTTGTCTCTGAGCTCTGTAACGATCTCTCATAGATATCAGAGCTAAAAAAGATATTAGTAAAATGAGTATATCATAGAAAAATCACTTTTACCGTTAACGCTATCCATAATTCGTTGTCTTTCTTTATCTATCCATCTCTGTCTTTCAGCGTGTTCTTCCTCTATCCCACCTCTTTCCCTACGATAAACAATATATTAAAGAAATTGTTGTAGAGGTTACCAGATTTTAATTTATAAAATGTAAGATATAATCGTATCACGCTAAAAATCTTTTTATTTTTAAAAGCACAAATTAATGATGTTCTTTAACTGAATCTATTTTACAATATTTAGAGAACAACGGCACAGACTACAAACACGTAAACATTTACGTACGCATGCGCATTTCTTATTTTTTATTTTTTATACACGTAAAAGATTCTTTACGTCTACGTATACGTGCCAGCAGCGGCCGACTCGACCGTAGGCCGTTGTTCTCTATTGTTAAACAAAATTAGTATTTAACCTGAAAAACAATGTTTTACGACAATGCAAATTTTCTTTAGTGTTTTTTGCAGTTTGCTGAGATGCTTCTATTTTTACTCAAGAATAAAAAAATAAAAGAAAATTATGTTATAAACCTTTTTAAAATGTTAGAAATTGTTAAGACAAAGTTAATAATCCTAATTTTGATTGTATTTTTGCAACTAATTCAACAAAATTTTAAAAGCACTTTTAATAAAGTAGGCTTTTAAGCCTACAATATCTTGCCACCCTTTCTCTAACAAGCGATATTATAGTCTGTCCAACGAGGGAATACATGACAGTGACAGCATTCCTGTCATTTTTTGGATGTCGTATGTCTAATTTTCTCTGATTGGTTGGACAGACGTCCACAAAATAATTTCAGGACATAATTACCATGCTTCTGCACATGCTCTCTCTCTAGGAAAAATAGGTCTGTCATCTAAATACTGCAAATCTTTCTGTAAAATAAAATAAATTATTATAATTAATTTTAACCAGATAAGTATTGAGCTTACAGAGTAAAGATTTAAGTTTTAATGGAAAAGAATCTACTCTATTGGAGTCTACTCTATAGTCTTTTATTGGAAAAACGTCTAATAAACGAGTAGGTATATTTTATTAGCCATTTTAAATGATTAGACACTCTCAATATAAATATATGTAATTTTTCATTCACCAACAATCGAGCCAACAATCAAATAAGATCATTATATGACCTAAATTTCTTCCTATAGCCTTATAACAAGTACAATATGCAGCAAAAAGAATGAACAAGATCATCAGTGTATCAGCAAACCACATCAATTTTAACTATACAGGGTGTCTGGTATACTGGTAGTATACTTCGATCCCGGAAACACGCCTATAAGGTTTTTTTTTGAAAAAAAAATGTTGAAAATTTTAAATTTTTCTTCACATTTTCCGGATATCTAAACCTTGCAGTGTTGCCACCTTCTACGTTATATTATCTCTGTTACCGACAGGATATACAGGTTGTTAATTTGTTTATTACTCGCGGCAAGAGCTTTATGGTTGAAATATAGCAACCTCGGCCCGCTCGTCGATAGACGACGCGACGGTACGAGTCGACAGAAAACCCTATAAGTGCATGCGTTCTCAATAGGCAGTGTTGCCATTCTGTTCCCTTATAAGTAACTGTCCAGTTAACAACCTGTATAGCATACCAGTTATATGGTGTATATGGTCAGGAGCGGATCCAGGAATCGGAAAAGGGGGGCCTAGACACAAAACTTTACTCAAAATACATACTCCGGAGTAGTTTCTGACATAATAAATTAATAATATCGTATTACATGACAGAACCTAAAAGGGAGAGGGGACTGAGCCCCCGAAGAAGGTGTATATAATATACTTATAATATACTTACGCATGCTAGGATGATCGTCTTTCGGTAAGCCGGTATTTTCCTTATTACCGGGTTACCCATCAAATTCAACACTCTCAAACCGGGCATTTTTCCCAATGTCTGGACGATTAGCGGCTCGTCCACGTGATTATTGGATAAATCCAGAACGGACAGCTCCAGGAGCTTTTCCAGATGCTCAAAATCCTCCACGATTTCCACGTAATTGTTGGCCATGTTCAGTGTGTGCAAAGATTTTATACAATCTAACAGGAGAATCATTAAAAATATATGTACAAGATTTGTGATAAGGTGTCCCAGAAATAAGTGCAAGTATTTAAACGCCTATGAGGTTTTTTTCGCGAAAAATAATTTTTGAAAATTCGAAATTTTTTGAAAAATTTTTTGGAAATTTTTTTAGTTTTTAGTTAAAAAACATAATTTCTTGATAATATGGCAACATAGGTATTAGACTAAATTTACAAGAAAGAAAATCCAGAAAAGATCCAGTGGTTCTCAAAATATTAGCAAAAAATCATTTTTTTCGGAAATTTTCAAAGTATAATAACGTTATTTTGGACTTATTTGAAAAGCGATAAAGAGAAAATATGTTTGTTTTATCGAGATCTACCATCCCTTAAAATACTTGCACTTATTTCTGGGACACCCTGTATTGTACAGCTTGTGCATTTTTACGGACTTGAATTTTTATTCCCAGCGCGCGTAAAGATTTTCACTTCAGTAATATATACAGGGTGAACCTATAAGAGCCCTGTAGCATCAAATGAAAATATCTCTACATATGGTGATCGCAAAACAATTTCCGATGGACGTGATCAATTTTGAGTGACAAGCGATGTCGACAGCGCTGCCAGATTGTGATGGATTTATGAGATGAATCTTAATTTAAAATTGACAAACAATGTGTATCATTTTTTAAAGAGTTTTACGTTTTATTTTTAATTTAATAACTAATATTTTAGTAATTAATTGATTTATTTGTTTTATAGCTTATTTTACTTATTACATATTGACAAAAACTAGTCCATTTTGAAGATTATTCTAAGCGTTATTATGGGGTTATTTATTTATTTATTTATTGATGCACATTTTACAACGCCATAAGTGGTAATAACAAGAGGGTGCTATTAATGCACAAACTAATAATCACAGAGTTTAATAAAAACTAACTCTGAAAGTGGTATAAATAAATAAATAAATAAATAAATGCCTTTATGGTCAAACATTTTTTCAATTTGTAGACAAAGGTAAACTAACAAACAAAGTAAAAAAACAAGGTACACAAACAAACAAACAAAAGATAATACAAAACATTATACAAATAATATTGTCAGTCTTATTGTTAAAATAAACATTTATAAATGTTTAGAATGTCAAAGAACAAAAAAATAAAAATAATATTCAAAAATATTTAGCTAGTTTATAGTAAAATATCAATGACCTCTAAATAAATAAATTCATTTCGATGTCATTAGTAAATATAGCAATAGCAAACATTAGACCAGTGTTTACAAGATCAAATTTGATTTTCAAAATATAATTCATTTACGGCGTAGAAAGACTTGTCTAGTAAATAAGAGTTCAATGCTTTGCGAAATGAAAAAAATGATGTTATGGATTTGATTTCAAATGGCAGGTGATTGTGCATTTTTTTCGAGTTGTATAATATTGAACTTTTAACTAACTCTGAGCGTGGGGTAGGTAGATAAAGATCTTGCTCCGCGTTCCTGAGTGAATAAGTGTGAGATGGCCTTTCTTGAGAAGCTGATACATGTTTACGTATTAGGCAAACGGATTCCAATATAAATAAGGAAGGAAGAGTCAATATTTTTAATTTTTTATTTATAACAACAGAGACATTAAAACTTACTTCTCTGACTGTAGCAAGGGTAATAAAGGACCTTTATTGTCACGTTTTCGTTCAAATTGTTTTATACAAGCTCTTTGCTTCGACTTTTTAAATGCTTCGATATATTTTCAACACACAATTTCAAGAAATGCAATACAAAAACTCGAAAATTTAGTTCTTAAAAGAACTGTTTGTGCTTAATAGTGCAAGTTAAAAAAAACTACGAAAATAGACAAGAAAACGAGAATTGATTCAACGACAACACGTTATAAATATACAGTTGACGCGCTAAAATTCAAAATAAATTCTTAGTTATAAATCGTTTGTAAATAGTTCTATAAGTCTTTTATCGTTATTATTTTTGTTAATTAGTGTTAAATAAATAGTGTTTAAATAAATTGTGACTTTCTATCCACACGGAACCGACGAAAAACGTAACAATACGGTACAATATTATACAAAATAATGACTGACATTAGGATAATTGTCAAATAATAAAGGACAACATTGCTGAACACGGCGCAATGTGACCAACATAGCGATAATAAAATTCGGTTTAAACTATTTTTTGTAGCTTTAATCTAAATAAAATATCTGTTACAATCATTTGCTCTATAAAGTAAAATGAAGAGCTGCTCGGTATCTTAAATTATACAACAAATTTAAACATTTTTGCCAAAATTTCATTTAGTCAAGTTTATAGACTTTAGTGTCAATGTCGATATGATTGTGCGAAGGAAAATATTTTGCGATTACAATACAGGGTGGCGCACCTCATTCGCCTCGGTTGATTATACGAAAACGGAAAGATGTAGAAACAAACTATTTTATGGGTATATGTGGGAAGGCAATGTGCATAATTTAAAATTATTTTGAAATATACAGGGTGTCTCAGAACTAAGATCCATACCAAAGTTATATTCTTTCTTACGGAACACCCGGTATTTTATTTCATTTTTCGATTCTTGGACATAAAATAAGGCATTTATTATAAGGGTTTAATATGTCTAAAAGATTTGGTTTTTGAGATATTTAAAGATATTTAAATATGCATGCTATAATAAAAAGGTTTGTCAACACCATTTACATTATTTTTCACAATTAATTCTGGTGCTGACTTTCGAGCCAGAGAAATAAACTTTACTAAAAAATTTGATTGCTTCCTTAAATGTATACAGGGGTATCAAAAATTGCTAGTCTATTTTTAACTATTTATTTTACATAAAAACTTCGTTATTTCAAATGCAACACTATGTATTTTTTTAAATATGTCAAAGCAGATTTAAATGCTCTTTCAAATTATATTCGGGTTTCCTATACCTAACTGGCTCAGATTTTGAATAAAAAGCGATTTTTCAATAAAACTGTAATCAAGATGGCTGGCGTTGTCATAGCAATTTTCTAGTGACACTTAGTAGCTAATTTCAAAATCGACATTAGTTTGTGGACTTTATTTAAATTTATAACAGGTTATTTTTATTTAATTTACATACAATAATATTAATAAGTAAGTATTTATTATTTTATCAAGAAAAATGAAGCAGTATCTGCTGGCGGAAGGAATGCACAAGAGCACAATTATTGCTTGTTAGCCTGAAGGATTTATGCTTAAATATATCCAAATAGGAATCTTCCTGATAAGCGTTCATTTGAAAAACTACTTTTCCTATTTCGCAGAGCTGATAGTGTGGTATATGAAAAACCTATTAGGCAGAAACCTGTCGTTGGAAGTGAAGAAAATGAATTTGCCTTAATTGGTTCTTTTATAAAAAATACAATATATCTACAAGCGATCGTAATATAAATCAAAGAACTGCTTCTTTATTTTTCTTGACAAAATAATAAATGCTTCCATATTAAACTATTGTAGGTAAATTAAATAAAAGTAAACTGTTATAAATTTAAATAAAGTCCATAAACTAATGTCGATTTTGAAAATAGCTACTAAGTATCACTAGAAAAGCTCCATCGCGACACCAGCCATCTTGATTACAGTTTTATTGAAAAATCGCTTTTTATTCAAAATCTGAGCCAGATAGGTATAGCAAACCCTAATATAGTTTGAAAGAGCATTTAAATCTGCTTGGACTTATTTAAAAAATACATAGAGCTGCATTTGATATAACGAAGTTTTTATGTAAAATAAATATTTAAAATAGACCAGCAATTTTTGATACCCTTTTGTATACATTTAAAAAAGCAATCAAATTTTTTAGTAAAGTTTATTTCTCTGGCTTGAAAGTCAGCATCAGATTTTACAAACCTTTTTATTATAGCATGCATATTTAAATATCTTTTATTTAAATATCTCAAAAACCAAAGCTTTTAGACATATTAAACCCTTATAATAAATGCTTAAATAATATTTTATGTCCAAGAATCCAAAAATGAAATAAAATACCGGGTGTTCCATAAGAAAAAATATAACTTTTGGTATGGATCTTAGTTCTGGCACACCCTGTACATTTCAAAATAATTTTAAATTATGCACATTGCCTTCCCACATATACCCATAAAATAGTTTGTTTCTACATCTTTCCGTTTTCGTATAATCAACCGAGGCGAATGAGGTGCGCCACCCTGTATACCTCATTTGTCATATTTATAAAATCCTTTTACCTTAATAAGCCTTTTATCAAAGTTTTTATGTATAGATTCAACGAAAGAAAAAAAAAACGATAAAAATAAATAAATAATGATGTTACGTTTAAAAAAATGTTATAGTACATCCACAATGAAGTAAATATATCCCGTTCACTTAAAATAATGGCAAGTTGTGTACGTTAAAATTTCGTAAATCTGTATGTTGCATTCAACAGTTTTTTTAACGTTTGAAACAAATAAATATTAACTTTTCTTAACTTACCTAAATTTTCAATTTTCTTTACTTGATTGTTAGATATATTCAATGTATCCAGTATAGAACAATTTTCTAAATTTTCAATTTTTTTAATTAAGTTGTAATGTAGAAACAAACTTCTTAATTCTTTCTGATTTTCTAAAAAATAAGAGTTTTATTTTGATGAATTTGCCTAATCTAATTTGATTTAAATAAACTATTTTTGTACCTAAACCACTTATTTGTCTAATTCCATTATTCTCCAGCCAGAGGCACTTTAATCCGGTATATTCCTCCAGATTCTCTATGTAAGAAAATCCTTTAAAATGAAGATAAAGTACATCATTTAAATGCGGGGTCTGATAGAGTTTTTGTTCTTTGCAATGTTTCTTGATATACTCTTTCGTCATTCTTGCAAATAAGAAAGCGTTATATTTTACATATTATATTATTTAAATAAAATAATTTACCTAGGACCTTTATAAAGTTTATCCAGTATGCTGTATTTTTCATTAACATCATTTGACTGGGCAGTTTCGGAATTTGTGGGAACATTTTCTACGATCAGCGACATTTTTTATAAAATGATTTTTTTTAACTTATTGATAAAACAACAAACATGTCATAGCTTTCTAATAATAATTATTGATTTAACAATATTAATATTGTATTGTTCTTTCAAAGAAAGTTATTAAATATGTTATGTTTAAAGAGATATTCCAATATTTCTATTTAAAAGTAATTTAATTTTAAAAATAAATATTTAAATTTCTTATTTATTCCGCTCAAAATTAAACCTCCAATTTTAGGTCAAATGTACTGTGTGACTAACTTCATTTGTTACCCAACCCGCTATTTTCGACCAATGAAATAGCTTGTGCGCAGTTTGAATTTTGTAGCTGTCAAATCCAAACAAAACGACTTCTCAAATTCAGTTGAATTAATAACAAATGTAATAAATTCATTTAATGATATTAAATATATTCATTATCCAAAACATTGAAAATGCCGTGCGAAATGATCACATTACAATTAGGCCAATGTGGCAATCAAAGTAAGTCTGTAAAATAAAGGTTATTTATTTTACTCCTTTTTGTATGCATTTTAGTTGGTTTTGAATTTTGGAAGCGCCTGTGTACGGAGCATGGTATTAATCCTGAAGGAATACTTGAGGACTTTGCTACAGAAGGTATTATTAAATATTTAAATGAAAACTATGATAAGGCAAGGGGTTAAAACTTCTTGTTTTAGGCATTGATAGAAAAGATGTGTTCTTTTATCAAGCTGACGATGAACATTACATACCAAGAGCTGTTTTGCTCGATTTAGAACCAAGAGTAATCAATACTATATTAAATTCTCCATATTCCAAATTATACAACCAAGAAAATGTATTTTTATCTAAAAATGGAGGTGGTGCCGGTAAGTTACATTGTTTTACATTTTTTTTAATTATATGGAAGTTATTACTTTAATTTTTTAAAGGAAATAACTGGGCATCTGGGTATTCTCAGGGTGAGAAACTTAATGAAGAAATTTTTGATATAATTGATAGAGAGGCAGACGGAAGTGATAGCTTAGAAGGTTTCGTTTTGTGCCACTCTATAGCTGGCGGAACAGGCTCTGGAATGGGCTCTAACATTTTAGAAAAACTATCTGACAGGTTTCCAAAGAAACTAGTTCAGACCTACAGTGTTTTTCCCAATTTGGATGAAATCAGGTTAAATTTTTTTGATCAATGTAAAAGTTTGATCAAAACACCCAATTCAAATATTTTATTTTAGTGATGTAGTAGTTCAGCCTTATAATTCTCTTCTGACATTAAAACGGCTCACAGAATCAGCAGATTCAGTTGTAGTTTTGGATAATACAGCTTTAAATAGGATTGCAGCAGACAGATTGAAAATTCAAAATCCAACTTTTACGCAGATAAATAGTTTGGTTAGTACTATAATGTCAGTTTCCACAACCACTTTAAGGTATTACAAAATTTAAGTTTACATGGATTCTTATATATGTTCCTGAGTTTTTTTTATAGATATCCATCATATATGAATAATGATCTGATGGGTCTGTTAGCACCTCTAATTCCGACGCCTCGTTTACATTTCCTTATGACAGGCTACACCCCACTTTCAACAGACACTGATGAGGCCAGTGTTCGAAAAACGACAGTTTTGGATGTGATGAGGCGGTTGCTTCAACCGAAGAATATGATGGTGTCTACTGCACAAGATAGAAGCTCTCAACATTGTTACATTTCAATTTTAAACATCATTCAAGTAAGGTGAGTAACTTTATTTTGGAATTTTCGCAAAGTTGATGTATTTTCAGGGTGAGGTTGATCCCACACAAGTTCACAAGTCTTTGCAAAGAATTCGAGAAAGAAAACTAGCTCAATTTATTCCTTGGGGTCCTGCTAGCATACAAGTGGCTTTATCAAGGAAATCGCCTTATGTCTCTACAGCACACAGAGTGTCAGGTCTTATGTTGGCTAATCACACCAACATTAGTTCAGTGAGTATATGTAGTATATGTCATATTTAGTGTTTTAATACAGAGAATATCTCCATTCGCAACGAGGGAAACATTTGTGGACATTCCCTTATAAGAACATTGTATAATCACAAACGAGAACGCTCCCTATAAATATTTCTTGCATTTATTACAGTGATTCTTTAGTTTTGAGTCTAAGTAGCATAAGCTTTTTACAAAATAATATTTTCTCTATTGTATTTATAATACTCCATTTTATATAGATATTTAAGTAACCAGATATCACCCTATAAATATTACAGCTCTTATTTTGTCTGTAATATATACTGCAGTGGCGGCTTAACCATGAGGTCAAATGGTCAATGCCCCCCCAAATAAATCGGGAGAAAATTAGAAAAAATTAGTTAAATTATACTTTTTGTAAATCACTTTCTTTCATCCTAAAATATTCAAAACTTATTACTTATAACATTTTATTTTACCCATTTTCTCTACCGCCGGTCAAAATTTCATTTTGTCCTTCGTTCCCGCTATGTTTTACACGTATTATAAACTCCAAGTGACGCGGCTCGTGATGCCAACTAGGTAAGGTATACTGCGTATAGAAAATATAATGGGTTAAGGTGCGATAGATATAGTTTATACAAATACGTTTAAAATAAAGTATACGGAGGGTACCGCTTAAATTCCTGTCCCGATATTGAAGGATGGCTATAGAATTTCAATGCATTTCCTACATAAGTCTATCCTTGGTTTGTAGGAGGTTTGACTAAACAAGGATGAACCTATGTCTTGAAACCATTCGACTCGATTTTCTGTCCTCCTTCAATACTGGGACGTAAATCCTCTCATTGCTCTTATGGGGAGGCCGTCGTATATTTTATTTAAACGTATTTGAGTTTATATTGGCCATTGACCGCGTCATTCATAAAATGATTTGTAAGGTAGGCAACTTTATATACACTTGTATTTGGTAGTTTACTGACAGGCGATATAAAAAGTGACGGTTTTTGTCTTTGTCTAGAAACCAGCGTGTTATTATTGTAATTTGTAATATTGTTTATTAGTTGAGAATCAATATAGTTGATTAAGAAATATCGAGTACATTATTTCTATATAAATATATTACAGGATTTCAGTCATATCGCTGGAAAAAGTTCGCCGTTTGGGCAGTTTGGGTGTTTATAAAAACTCAAATTAAAAAACAGCCTAGGTTTTTGTATCGTTTATCGCGTATCGCGTATAATGTTTGGTTTAGTCAATATAAATCGATATTTAAATTTTTAATATCGAAAAAAAAATTAGTTTTAGTTGCCGTAGCTTTGTCGTAGCCAAGGGTTTGAGATGCAGCGCGAAATTTGTGTATGTAATAATTCATAATTTTCTGGTTCTGGATAAATGATGAACTCTTGTTGACTGATACTGGAATATTTTCAAATAGACAACATATTATGGTGTTTAGTTTGTAAAATCGTGCGGTTAAAAGAAAACAATTGTTTAAATTTCGAAAAACGTTTAGAGAAAGAATTGACTTAAAATAGTTTCATATAAATTTTTGAGCATTTTACAACACTAGCCATGTTACACAACTTAGACTAAAATTAAATATATACTTTCAGTTGTTTGATCGTGCATTGATTCAGTATGATAAACTGAGAAAACGCGAGGCATTTTTGGATCAATTTCGAAAAGAGGAAATGTTTAAGGATAATCTTGACGAATTAGATTCTAGCAGGGAAGTTGTTCAAGATCTAGTTGATGAATATATTGCAGCTACTAAAGAAGATTATTGTAATTAGAAGGTGAAGGAATTCTATTTATTTTAGAGTTAAGTTTATTTTGCCATATCAGTAGGTAACATCTATGTACAAAAATTCACATAATCTTGAAGAAAATATAGAAATTTTATTTTCTGCTATAATTTTTCCGATTTAAAGCATTCAGTTGAGGTTCAGTTGCAGTTGGATGTTCGCGGCAGTTGAGGTTCAACATTCTTGTATTTATAAACTGTCAGTTTCGGTTGTAGGTTAGGTTTGGACTTGTGAAGATTTGGAACGTTTTTCTTTCGATTTAAAAATACTTTTGTTATTTTTTGTGATGGGATAACTCGAGCGAAATATCGCTCGAGTACTCGATTATTGAAATAACCGACATCGCTCGATTATGAACGAGCGATGCAAGTGACGAGTACCAAGCGACGAATTTTAATGTGACATAATGTGATTTTAATGTGACATATTCGATAAAAAGCCGAGCGAATTTTCTACATACATTGCAGATAGCAAATTTATACGACGCCGTATATACCGGGTGGGTCTCAAAAGTGGCTCACCCCTATTAGTTTTTTATTTTTTTAGATAAAAAAATGAGGTCTGGTATGTTAGTATATGACATAAATTAGGATTGATTTACGTATTCAATTGTTTTCTGTTACTTCCTGTTTCACCGGAAACCCTCGGTATTTTTTTTACTTTATTCGATAGAAAATGACATTCTAAATAGAATGTGGTATCATATGTCAACTTTTGACATATTCGCTTAAAAACAAATTGTATTTTAAATTTGAATCTAGAGTGCCATGTGTTAAAAACACTAATTTTTAATCAAGGAGCCTTGGAAAAATAGACTTGATGGTCTAATGTTTTTAGTGTCTTGCCCTGGCCGGTTAAAAGATGCCCAAATCGTATTTTTGATCATATCTCTTTTTTTTTCAAATGGAACGAGGGTGGCTCATTAGCATATTTCGAAAAAGATTTTTTTTACGAATAATTTCATACCACACACTTGGTACTTCGAGTCAAATTGTCGTTATGAACCGCATGTTACAATTTCAAATGAATCATATGCGAAAATGTCAAAAGTTGACATGTGATATGTCATTCTATTCAGAGTGTCATTTTCTACCGAATAAAGTAAAAAAAACACCGAGGGTGCGATCTAAAAATAAAAAGTTGCAGTCATTTCCGGTGAAACCGGGAGTGACCGAAAACAATTGAATATGTCAATTAATCCTAATTTATGTCATATACTAACCTACCAAATCACGTTGTTTTATCTGAAAAAATAAATAAGTTATAGGGGTGAGCCACTTTTGAGACGCACCCGGTATATTTATCCGTTGCGTATCTGAGGGACAACATTTTACGACCTACATCGATAATGCTTCGAAATAAACTAAATCAAGCGATCAAGCGAATCGCTCGCCGCTTACTACTTGCCGTTCATGATCGAAAGAATGTGCCCTGCGCACGCAGCTTACTGCTTGGCGTTAACGAGTACTTACACCATGCGACGGACAAAAAACCGTATTTTTAAATACGAGCGATATTTCTCTCGAGTGATCACTCGGTTATTGCAATCGCTTGATACTCGAGTACTCGATTATTGAAGTTAATCGGTTTTTCCCATCACTAATAATAATCCAATATTGCGTAAAATATGAACATTACATAAACAGAAATGATGAAACAACAATAAGGGTAATTTTCCAATGCATCTCTTTTCTGTGCTTCACGTGCTTGACAGTCGCTTACTCATTGGCTGCCGTCCCAACTGCCAACTTTTCGACCAACTGACTTTATAAATGCGCGTATTCATTTCATAGTGTTAGGTTAGGTTAGAACGTCAACTGAACTTTAACTGCCTTGTATATAAATCCAGCTTTAGTAAAATGAGAGACAATAATCAACCTCAAAATTTTAGTAGCCTATATTGGCTTCTAATTGGATACGTAAATATTTACAAAAGATAATTATATTTGTATATTTGTTCATAACATGTAAGTTTGTTTAAAATTAGAAATTGTTATTATTACTTTGTAATTTTTATAGTTAAATTTCATGCTCTCTATAGTCTGTATCAACTGAATTTTTTTTTTTTTAGAATCTAAAATTTAGTTACTGCTATTACTTATAGGCCAGTAAGCGAGGATAAAAATAGGGTACTACCTCCGAATTCTTGACACCCGCACCGATTGACGTGAAATTTTAGCAGTGAATAGAGATATATGTAAGAAACAAAAGTTACATAGTAACGATGTGTGCTTTCACCCTGGTGGTGAGTGCCACCTCTTCTCGGGGATGAAAAATAAATCGCCCATTTTAATTACTAATTTTGATTAAAAATCAATAAAGGGATGAATTCTAAGCAAAAAATGTTCTATAACATTTTTTCACAAAATTAATATTTTCCGAGTTATTTAGGATTGAAAATGTTGATTTTTCATCTAAAAACTGGATATTTTTTTGCAATTTTTTATAAATAACTCGAAAATCTTGCATTTTATCGCAAAACTCATATAAAGAAAAATTAAGCTTTTGGAATAACAAATCGATTCATTTGTTGTTGTTTACCGTAGGTGTAGTAATAGCCGAGTTATCACTCTGTAAACTTGATTTTTCGAAAACTAAATTGCAACCTTTTATCGTAAAATAATGGCGAAAGAACACATTTTCGAAGAATATGAATATGACCGTTTTTAAAGTGCTTGAAGAGACTTTTAAATGTTTTTTAAAGGTCTTTTCAAGTTCGTAGCTCAAGGACTCACAGAGTTATGATAAAAATAAAATGGTCACCTTATTTTTTCGAAATAAAATTAACAACAAAATCTATGACTAAAATCATAAAAATAAAAACATCAATTTGCAGGAAATTACACGAGCTACAAATTAACCTCTATAGTTGAACAGTCTTGAACTCTTCATTTTCATGAGATTTTTGGGTTTTAAGTGCTCATAGAAGGTGGTCCTTACATGCAAGTCAAACTAAAAAACCTAATATCTACGAAATAAAGAGATCTACAGAAAAATTGAAAGGGAGCAAAAATATTGTAAAAAAAAGACCTTCAATTTTCCTCTATTGCATTTTTTACGTATCTTGCTTAGTTTTTGAGATATGCCAAAAAAATAAAAAAATTTTCAAAAACAAAATTTTTTTTTCTCATTATTTTCAACTTTTTTTTCCAAATTTAGGCATTCTAAAGCTTGATTTTCATGCATCCGTTATACGTTGATACGATGGACCGATGGTGCTCTGATTGATCATAGGTTTTCGCTCCACATTTCATCCGTAAATATTTTACTTCAGCCCGTCAACGGACCCGTTCATACGATAACGGACGTTTTGACACTTTTTTGACAAATTTAATCTAACCTTAATAAAAATATGGCATGAAAATGCAATAAATTTAAAAACTGCGTTATTTTATAACCAATCAAAGTCTTTAAATTCTACCAATAAAATTAATATCGTATCAACGGATCGTCGGACAACGGATGCATGAAAATCAAGCTTAAACCGCTCGAACGTGCAGAGTGAATTGTCAATTGTTAGTATCTAATAATAATCTAATGTTATATAGCCAATTGTACATGTATTACGCTTAGTTTTTATTTTTATGATTTTAGTGAAAGATTTTGTTGTTAATTTTTTTCCGAAATAATGAGGTGACCATATTATTTTTATCATAACTCCGCGAGTTTTTGAGCTACGAACGTTTTTAAGAAAACATTTAAAAGGTCTTTTCAAGCACTTTAAAAACGGTCATATTCATTTTCTTCGAAAAATGTGTTCTTTCGCCATTATTTTACGGTAAAAGTTGCAATTTAGTTTTCGAAAAATAAAAAATCACGTTTACTGAATGATAATTCGGCTATTATTACACCTACGGTAATCAACAAAAAATGGATCGTTTAGCTATTTCAAAAGCTTCATTTTTGCTCTATATGAGTTTTGCGATAAAACGCAAGGTTTTCGAGTTATGTATTTATAAAAATTGGCAAAAAATATGCAGTTTTTAGATGAAAAATCAACATTTTCAATCCTAAATAACTCGGAAAATATTAATTTTCCGAAAAAATGTTATAGGACATTTTTTGCTTAGAATTATTTATCCCTTTATTGTTTTTTGTAATTAAAATGGGTGAATTATTTTTTACCCCAGAGAAGGTGTAGTAGTCACCCCCACGGTGACAGCACACATCGCTACTCTGTAACTCTTGTTTCTTACATATATCTCTATTCACTATTAAAATTTCACGTCAATCGATGCAGGTGTTCAGAATTCGGAACCTAAAACCCTCGCTAACTGGCCTATTAAGAAGTGCCATTTTTGTATATTTTGATTAATTTATTTTTACATACTTTGTTAATGCCATTAAAGTAAATTAGTTAAAGTAAAACACACTGGATTTTTCCATTCTTTATTTTTCATAGTCAAAATATAAGAATTATAACCCTTATACATGATAAGCAAAAAGTTGGACACACTATTATTTGAGAATTGCAATAATGAATAAAATAAACATATACCTTCTTCACAAAAATATTAATAATAGCGGCAAAGATTTTTTTGAAAATCTTTAATATGACAATTAGCAATTTTTTAAGACATTATTTATCCTTAAGGCGGCCTTTTCAGTTAATGTTTTCTAAGAAAAAAACAGCCTTAAGCAGAGGAACTAAAAGAAAGATATATACAATATAAAATCAACAAATAAAACTAAAGAGTACACTTAACAAAGAACACAATAAAGATTGCTTAAAGGAGATTAAGTCTATCCCTTTTTATATAAAGCGGATAATAATTGATCAAAAAAATTAAGAAACATTGGCATACAGTCTTTTTACATTTATATGTTACAAAAGGAAAAAAAATATTAAATTTTATATAGATGGAAACATTTATATAACACATATATACAGGTCATATACAAAGAAATAAAATATATAATTATTTTGTTAGTGTAAAACTGAAGGTGTATGTATGAAAATAGAAACAGTCTGTTTTGTAAGATGACGTTGATTTTTATAAAGTGCTGGAAGTTGTGTGAAAACGTGTTTTTAACAAAAATAGACCTATCTAGGTTGCTATTCTGTATGAAAATCTGTCAGGTTGTGGTATACGAACAGAATAATCATAATAAGAACATCTAATGTTGGTTAGGTTTTGTTCCAATTAACTATCAATATAATCAATTCCATATAACATCAGTTATGCAGGTTGTGTCAAAAACTAGCAACAAATGGAATTTTTTATTCTTGAGTTTATGAAACTTGCTCTACATAGAACTAAAATGAAATTGTGTACTTTTCATTTTGACTTTTTGCAATACTTTTTGTCAAATAATCCTACTTTTTACAATTGCAAAGAGGATTTTTATAAAAAAATGTCTATACCT